CCTAGTCAGGTGATCAGGTCATATGACCAAGGATGAGGTCATATGAGGTCATGCACAGCCATGCACAGCAGGTCACCTGACCATCCAATCCTTCCAGCAGGTTCCAGCACATGCCAAGGCATACCAGCTACTTCCATGTCATAAAGGCTTAGTCATGTCTCTTGACCAAGCAATGAGCTGGTGCCCTGACAGTAGCCAAAACTGCCGAAAGGTGGCTACTTGTCTTCAACCTGCCAAAAGCCTTGCTGAGGCCCATGACCAAGGCCTACAAATAGTCAAACATGATTGATAGGCTGGCCCAAAAGGTATTCAAGCTCTGACCCCCTATGCCTTAGGCCCCAAAGTCTTTTGGGTGTCCTAGCAACTTGATGAAGGGGTTGAAACTCCAGTTGACATGACTGAGTCTTGCACAAATATGCAACTTGAGTGTTCAGTCCTTGCAAAAGGTGAACAATCACTGATAGCCTGGAAATGAGGGGTTGAGTGTGTCAAACTGGTGGCATTTGGGCCTGAATAGGAGTTCATAGAGGTTGAACCCTAACAATCATCTTGGACCCCCTTCTACACACACCTAAACACCCTGCCCTCATAAACTTGCCTTGACTCCACAACTCTTGCTACACTTTCTGTGAGGGTGACACAGTCTAGGTGCTAGCGATGACTGTATGACTGAACAGGCAAGACCTTGAGCGCATGTGCAATGCACCAGTATGGGTGGGCAAGAGGGTGAGATTGCTCAACCCCTGTCACCAGACACAATACAGAGAGACAGATAACTAGTCACTGATCCAACCCAAGAGGTGTCCGAAATATCAGGTGTCTGAATATATTGGCCTGATGGGAGGTGTGCAAGAACTCACAGGGGAAAGAGGGGGAAAAGTTGGTAAAGTCATGGGTACGGAAGTTGGTCAGTAAATTGGAAGTCGGTCTCAGTCCAGTCAGTCACAATAAGTCAAGTCGGATATGCTAAGTCAAGTCTGCCTGTGCACAATAATTGGGTCTGTATAATGCTAACAGAAAAGGGGCAGAATAAGCTAAGTACAGGAGTTTCTGGAAACTACTTATACTAACTACTCTAGGCTGTGTTCAATACTAATATCATATCTGGATACCTCACCAAGGCAGATGTTGGCATGCTGAATCTCCAGGTGGGTCAATCCTGTTGTGAGGGAAACCCGTAGTCATCATGCCGAATATTTGGAGAGTCAAGGCTTGTTGCAGGGGTCCATTGTCTACATTGTGAGGGTCCATAGTGCCACACAATGGTCTCCAAGGGTCCAAATATGCTTGGGAATACCAGCCTGACACACCTCACTGAAGGTGGGGTTGTTCACCAGTGCAAGTAAAGTGGCATGAATTGGCCTGCTGCAGGCCAATACCCTAATGGAACCATCTTTGTTTGCTTCTGCTTCGGACCCTAAGTCAGAAGCAAATCACATATGATCATGCAGGTACAGTAATACTGACATTATTACAAGACTGAAGTAGTATTGAGTATTACTATGACTATGACTATGACTATGACTATGACTATTAATGTTTTTATTATTTAAGGTTATATCATTTTCAGGTTAAGGTTTATGCGCTATTCAGGTTAGGGTCACTTCGGGTTAGGTGCTCTTACATAACTTTACATAATTATCATCCCTATTTTTTACTACAAACTGGGGTCCGACACAAGGCTGTGCGAAAACGGAGGCAATGCCCATAAAATCGAACCTCGCACTATCGGCTTTCCATACAAGTGCAAATAACAGTTTGCTGCACATGTACAGAGTGAAAACAGGAGGATGACCACGCGGGGAACGTCTCGGAGGTTGATGGTGTTTTCGATCACATCGGATATACTACCACGTGGTTAATAACCGATTTAGGCCGCCACCCAAAAAGGGCGACCAAACCTCCGAGCGCTTTGTTTTCCTGTCTCTTACGCGTGTGAACACATATGTCTGCGTCCAAGGCTGCGCGCTCTCATGGCGGGTTCACTAACCGCGCGACTCCAAAGGCCAAGCCAGCGGCTCGACGACCCGTAGACGGGCCGGACAGGAGAGTCGTGTTCAAGAGCACGTTGCATAACCCGCTGCAACTTCAATGGTGCGCTTCGTGTGCGTTGGAGGGAAGAGGAGCTGACGACACTCAGGCCGCCGATACCGGCTGTGTTGCAGACTAAGATTCTAGAGAAGGCGTGTGAGATGTTGGGAGAGGTCGCGTCTTACCACCTAGATCGGCGCAGTAAGAGTGGGTCTAAGCAGAAAAAGAGGCGGAAGCCGGCTCTTCCTACGGATAAGGGCAAGATTCCTGTCGCTCGAAAGTCTGGAGAGGCCAAAGATGCCGGAGCGGTTGGGGAGGATGTCATCCAAGGAGCGAAACGGAAACTGCAGGAGACCGATGCTCAGGAGGAACCTCCAACAAAGCAACAGCGGCTGGAGCCACCTGAGCCTACAGTGACTGACAACCCCACTCTCCTGGTCGAAGTCCCACCCACTGAAGCTCAACCCCCACTCACAAGTCAGCCTATACGAGATGCACGAGAAGCAGTCCCTCCCCCGCCACTGCTGAAACATCTTACTATTGGGATAAATGAAGTCACCCGTCAGCTAGAAGCGGCAACACTCTCTCTCCGCGCACAGCTCTACCCTTCTCCAACTCCCTCTACCACTACCACTACCACTACCACTACCACGACTACCACCACCCTTCCCTCTACTTCCTCGGCCCTCCCTCCTACTTCCTCACCCCCAACCCCCCGTCTAATCCTCGTCTGCAAACAAGATCTCCTCCCGCCTCTCCTGGTCGCGCACCTCCCTCTCCTCGTAGCAGCATACAACTCCCTCCTTCCCCCTTCCTCCCAACAGGGCGTGTACCTCGTCCAACTACACAAGCGCTCCGAGACGGCCCTTGCTGCTGCTGTGGGACTCAAGCGAGCAGCAGTCGTGTCGTTTACCGTACGCCCCCTCCACCCCCCTCCTTCTCCGAGTGCGCTAACTGAACGCAGTCCGACACTCCAGGACTGGAACCACTGATCGAGGGGTTAGAGGAAATGGGTGTAGGGGTGTTGACGGCTCCTTGGCTTGTGCCGCCCCCGGGGGGAGGGTATAGACCGGTGGAGGTGAAGATGTTGAGGACGACGGGGCCGAGAGATATGGCTCGGGCTAAGAGGGAGAGAGGGGAGAAGAGGGGGGAGGCGAGAGAGAGACGGAAGAAGGGGAAGGAGGGGATGTTGGTGCGGGACGGGGAGGGGTGGGGAAGGGTGGGGGAGAAACATACGGATGGGGATGGGGAGTTAAGGGTGGGAAATGGACTGGGAAATGATGGGAAAGAAGTGTAGTGGGATTGTGCTCTGATCTAACGGCAACAGGTAGATATTACGATTGCATGACGTTCCCCATCTCCTCCGCATGACTCATTGTGATCAAATTATATGGACAAGGTGTGAGTATATTACAATTGCATGTCTCGCGTCCCATCCCTAAGTATTATACAACACCCCCCGGTTCATCGGAAAACAGCAAGCAGCGGCTGGGCAGGACTCGCCGGTTCAAGCTTAGGCGGCCTCACCAGCTGGCTCACTTCCAGGGGTTCGAACTTGATCTCTTCCTCGTCGCCAAACAAGCACGTCAGCACCCCCTCAAGCTCTTGCACGTCCTTACAATACCCCCTGACGACGTCTACCGTCGTCTTCCAGTCTGGGCTCATAGGCCAGCGTATGTCGAATGATGCCTGTGCTTGGGCGGGCGTGCCGGTAAAGTGTCGTGCCCAGAGGGAGACGGCGGAGATCTGCTCAGAGCATTTGAGCTTGAGGGCGGAGAGTTCGGAGGCTTCGAGTGGGGAGAGATGGACGGTGCTGAGGCTGGGAGTGGAGGGGAAGACGGGAGTGAGGAGCGTGTCAGGGGGAACGAAGGGGTTGAGCGTGAGTTGTTCGCGGATGTACTGGTTGTTGTTAGTTTAGGAAAGGGACGGAGTAGGAAGGGGAAGGGACACACGGTTTTTCGCAAATGGAGCGTTAGGACCCACCATTTTCTTCTTTGTGCTTCGCCTACTTTCTCACCTGCTACTTCTCTAAGACGGCGTCTTGCTTCCCGTCCCAACTTCCCCGGGCCTTTTGTCGCTGCGTGAATAGAGAGTGCGGCTGTGCCTTGGGAGGAGAGCAGTTGGCGATGCAGTTCAAGCTGGGAAAGGAGCTGCAGTAGCTGGGGCAGGAGGGGAAGGGGGGATGGCGTGAGGAGGCGGGTGATCGTATGTGTAAGAAGCGGGATGGGGGGGAGCAAAGGGAGGGAGGGAGAGGAGAAGAGGATCCGTTCTGCCCAGAGTTAGAGCGTTGAGGGAGGGAAGGATGGGGACGCACCAGTTAAGAGGCGCTGTGAGGGTAGGTCGTCTGGTTTGGTGAAGGAGAGAGCGGTGATCAGTTCCTGCGCTGTGTTGAACTTTGGTGGGGCTGGGAATGGCGTTGAGGGAGGAATTACAGGGGTCGGGAATGTCGTGGCTTCTGTTGCTCTTTGTGGTACAGCAGGAATGCTGGACACCGGCGGAGATAGGGCGCTCGCTGTCTCTGTTTCTGGCACTGCAACGTGCCCCTCTTCCTGCCTATCCTCTGTCGGTACAGGCCGCACAGACTGCCTCGGCCTCACACTCCTAGCGCGACTCTGCGCCCTCGAGGAGTCCGTAAGTAGGAGAGAATCAAGGTTCGGTATTTCCCTGTTGTTGCTGTCAACTATTACGCTGCTGTGCCTTCTGCGGGACCGGGAGGGGGAGACGCGGTAGGGTGATATGACGGGGTAGGATTTGTCTAGGAATATGGAATGTGAGGGGTATGAGAGCTAGAACGGGAAGGGCTCACCGATGAGATAGTTGCCTGACTTGCGAGCGCGTTTGAACGTTATATGCGCTACTGGTTGAGGGGAGGACATCTTCAGAGGGTATAAGCAACGATTAGCAAGGTGTAGAGTAGTGATAAGCAACGGCACAGAACGCGTGCTCACCGTCTCTCGACGCGTCCTCACTGCCAGAAGAAGCAGCACTGCCACCCCGTCCATCCACCCTTGCTGCTGTTCTGGTCTGACGCTCAGTGAGTCGTTCAATTTTTGGGACATTAATCGGCGCACGACACTACACGATCACATATCACATATCACAGACAGGCGCTGTATACCTCAAGCCCCTATCTCTTCTGGCATTGGGTATAGATGGCGCAGGAAAAGCCCCAGCAGAGGGTGGCCACCTGGCTTGCGTCTGTCTCCAGCACTGGGGAGGACGACGACTCGCAAGAGGAGCTTAAGACGTTTGAGGACTTTCTACGGTTTGCCAGAGGGCGCATCACAAGTGGGCAGACGAAGGCGAGGACAGGGTTCATCCAGGACAAGCTGCTGTATGCTGTCGAGAAAGGCGGTGAGTATATTTGCATACATCTTCTCCCTGCCCTGATCCATGAATAGGCTTAGAGCCACCCCAACTATTGGCGATATTCCTCCTCCTCACCCTTACATACCCACGATACTCCGACCGTCCGTCGCGTTCCGCTGTGCTCCAAGTCCTCTGCGCCCTGCTCTCCTCCCCATCAGCAGCGCAAGTGACGCCTAAGATCCTCGCATGGCTTTCGAAGGAGGTCGACACTGTCTGCCGCCCCACTCCGAGCACAGCGATCTCCAACCGCTTCGTCCTTCTCAGCTGGTCGTTAACGGCATACGAAGTCCTCGCGCCGTCAGGGGACTTCCAGGCGAGCGCGGAATGGAAGACACTTGTAGGCACTCTGGCAAGGGCGTTCGACTCTGTGCTGCGATGCGAAGGCCGGCATGGGGTGCAATACAGTGCGTTGACAAGCACGCGCCGCTCCGTGAGAAAGGCGCACACCGCTATTCCCGTTCTGGTGGAGACGCTTGCCCAACTCGCTTCGGGCTCTGCTCCTGCTGTGCAGGCAGAAGTGGTCACTCCCCTCGTAGGGGTAGCAGTGGACGTCTCCCTCCGACTCAAGGGCAAGCTACACCCCGTAGGCGAACAGTACCTCGCTTCGCTCAAACCCATCGTCCTCAAGCTCATCTGCGAAGGGCTCATCCTCTCTCGCACCCCTCTACCCCTTCACACCATCCCAGCAGTAAAAGACTTTCTCGGCCTGTTAGTGACACCACAAGACTGGGACGACACCCTCATGCCAGCAACGACCAAGGCCTTCCTCCGCACTCCAGAAGTATCGCTCAAAATCCTCTCAGACATCGTCGCTGCCTACCCCTCCCCACTGCCCGCCCTAGCAAGCATGCTCAGCGCGACGCTCAATCATGCCAAAGCAACCAATCCCGCTACCCGCACGGGTGCGCTTGCACTCTTCTCTGCTCTGTTGGCGAACGAGCCCCAGCTCCAGGCGCAAGCGGGGAAAGACGTGCTAGCCGCTCTGAGCGGGGGGAAGACCGCTTCGCCCGAACACAGGCAAACGTTGTACCAGATGGTGCTCGCTCTCCCTCCCTCTGTGTCTAGGTCTCCGAGCGCAGTGCAGACCCTCATCCCCCTCTTCTCGAAAGAAGTAAACGAGCCTGCCCTCTCCGCGCTCTCCCAGGCCCTTGCCGCCCATCTCCGGTTCTGCATCTCTCAGGATATCCCTCTCCTCCCAGACCAAGCCAAGGCCCTTTCCAAAGAGCTGAGCGCACAGAAAGTCGCTCTCCGGCGAGCGGCAGTGCGTGTCTTAGGCGCAGCGCTCTACCTCCCGGACACGGAAGAAGGCCAGGCTGAGCCTACGAAAGCTGCCGAGGCTCTCGCTGCCGAGGTTGCTAGCGGGCTAGAAGGCGCACTCAAAGCCGTCAGTACCAACCCGCTGAACAGCGCTGCCGGCCCGCTGGAGGGGTACGTCGCCATTGCCCTCATCTCTGGCCCTCTGAGCAGGCACGGGTCTAAACCACTCTCCGCCCTCCAGAAGAACGCAGTGATGAAATCCGTCCTCTCTGTAGGGGCGAAACCGAGCTTCTTCCTCTGGGATCGCGTGTACAAGCGCGCCACCACCGCGGAAGACGAGCTCTGGCTTTTGCGAGCCGCGGCGGCGCTGCTGCATGCGCACTCTGCCGAGCTGAGAAAGAACGAGCCTGTGCGCGTCGCCCTTGGGGCGATATTCGTTTACCTTGGCCTGGACAGCACGCATTTCGAGATGCGGAGGGAAACGGTAGCCATGGTCAAGGCGTGCACCGCGAGGCATCCTATTGTCACTAACGCGATGCTGCGGGACGCGGTAAGGCCGTATCTTGTCCTGCATTCGGCAAAACCAACAGTCGTGAAAGCTGATGACGAGGCGGCGAAAGTCACGTCCCCCGTGGAAAGGCTCTCGGAGCTGTTAGACGCAGCGTCGACTTTTGCCCAGCATACTGTCGAGGAGACGCGTATTGATATCCTTACGGAATGGATTGTGCTTTCGCACTACCTGGATCCGGGTACGGTTTGTTCCCCATGTTTTCGCTGGTGTGCTGATGCGACCGTGCTAGTGTCTGCGGCCCAAATCAGTTGGATCGAGATGGTGCAGAAGGCTAGACTGGATCCGAACGTAGTCGTTATCGACCGACTGCAACGTGTCCAGGAGCTCATCGATGAGGCGTTGATTGGTCCGGAGGTGCGTGACCTGCCTTGGCGTCGATACGCACCCAGTACTCAGCCTGAGAAACAGAAAGCGTTCAGAGACGCTGCTGCACGCGCGGCTACCACTGCTGCGTTTGTCGCTGGCGAGACGGCAACGCTGAGCATCCTGGACAGGATACAGGCCGATCTCACGCCAGAACTGTTCAAGCGCCTCACCACTAATGATCTCGCTATCTGGGCGACCCCAGAAGGGGCACTCTTCGTTGACGTCCTCGCGGCTAAGAAACCTGTTGTCGCTGACAAGAACCGAAAGGATTACGCGATCGAGAAGTGGGAACAGGAATTGCGCCAGTCGGTTGCTGCCAAGAAAGCAGGGAAGACTGTCACGCTTTCGAAGCAGGACCAAGCGCTGGTTGATGCTCAGCTGGCGAAAGAATCTGAGATTAGGAACAGTATCAACCGCCTACAACGACAAGCTGAACGCGGCTTGGCATTGGTGCGAAGTTTGGTTCAGGGAGACAACGAGACGTTCCACCAGCAGCTGTATTCTGTCGTCAACCTGCTTCTAGCTGGCGTACTTTCTCATGGCTCCGCATTAGCAGGATCAGCTGCCTTCGACACTTATCTAGTTCGTGTTAACTTGTATCCCTTTGGACTAGGCTCAACCCAAACAGGAGTTAAGCAAATGCGTTTCTCCTCGGATTAGTGAGACTCGTCGCTGGATCGGTATTTCCACGCTCCGTGCGTACAACCTTGCGGTAGTTCCTCCCCATCTCGAAGCCGAATCTGTAACCTGTATGTACGCCACTATCAGACGTGGATACTGCAACTGACTGTTCGCAGATGTCGTCACTCGCGTCCTGTATCGACTTCGCAGTCTTGCTGAGCAGAGTCCATTTGATCCGACTTCTTTCATGTACATCACCCCTCTCCTAACACAGCTCGTCTCCATCGGTGGTATTCCTCTGAATGCCGAGGACGCCGAATCCCAATTAGAACAGCTTGCGCTGTGCTTAGATCTCATGCGTTTCCACTGCAGCGCTTGTACGTGAATTCCTTATACCCGGACCCGACATTCAAGCTAACTAGGTCTCAGTCTCCGAGCCGCTGTATCCACGTTTGGACATCATATCATCACTGCTGAAATTGATTGCGGGATACTCAAAACTCCTTCAAACAGCATCGACAGCTTTGGTAGGAATAGCGGAGAGTATGAAAGACAATGCATCCCCTGGAGAGATCAGATCCCTGGTCCAAGGAACGTTGTATCAAGAACAGTACGTGCGAAATGCATGTTTGCAGGCTTTACAAGTGCGTTCTAAGTACTTTCATTGCATATCTAACTAATTCACTTTCTAGCCCGTGGATTTGACTGAAATGGACTTCTCCCCCGAGTTATGGATAGCATGCCACGATGATGACGAACAAAATGCCCGGCTCGCTTTTCGTGTTTGGGAGGACAATGGCTTGGACGTTTCTGACGACTTTGCTCCACAACTCGTGCCCTTCCTAGGTATGTCTCCCTCTTGTGAGACAGTTCAATCTTGAACGTTGTACAGAGCATTCGAACGTCTATGTTCGAACCAGTTGTGCGAGCGCCATAGCGGAAGCAGCAAGCACTTTCCCCGACCGAGTCCCAGAGTTGCTCAGAGACCTGCAAGCCCTTTACCTTGAGAAGGCGAGTGTCGCCATTATTCACTTCGTATTTATCTGATGCCAGCGCTCTTCCAGGCGAAGATTCTCACTCCAGAATACGATGCTTACGTCAGTACCAGCTCCATAAATGAGACCCCGATATAAGCTAATCGATCTGCAGGGCATGGTTATTCCGGATTCGCTTGATCGCCCAGACCCGTGGCCTGTTCGAGTGGCAATTGCGCTTTCTTTCGAGCAACTCGCAGAATCCTTCACAGCAGAACAGCTTGTGCCGTTCTTCGACTTTTTGCTGAATCAAGAAGCACTGGGTGACAGACGCTCAGATGTTCGGTCAGCCATGTTGAGCGCAGCGACCACAGTCATTGATCTGCACGGCAATGCCAAGCTCTCTGAACTGGTCTCGATGTTCGAGTTATATCTCGGGAAGAAAGGGAAAGGTTCTGAGACTCAGGACTGGATCAAAGAAGCTGTTGTCATTCTCATTGGTCGTGTGGCTCGCCATCTTGCTCTTTCGGATGATCGTATCCCAAAAATAGTTGACAGGTTGATTGCTGCCCTCAAGACGCCCTCGGAAGTCGTGCAGTCAGCCGTGGCGGAATGCTTGCCACCTCTCGTCAAGGGTACGACCGTCGACGTGACGAAGTTGGTCGACCGCCTAATGGAAGAGCTTGTCAATGCTCCGAAGTATGCTGAGCGTCGTGGAGCCGCTTATGGACTGGCAGGTGTGATGAAGGGAAGAGGGCTCGCCGGCATCAAAGAGTTCAACGTCATGGAACGTCTTCGTGACTTCATGGAGGATAAAAAACGCTTCGAAAGTCGACAGGGTGCTTTGTTCGCGTTCGAGACCCTGTCTGCAACTCTTGGGCGCACCTTTGAGCCCTATATCATTCAAGATTTAACTCTACTCCTTTCCGCCTTTGGTGATTCGCAACCGGATGTGCGAGAAGCCACACAAGATGCGACCCGTGTTATCATGTCACGGATCTCCGGTTATGGTGTGAAAGTTATCTTGCCGGATCTTTTAAGCGGGTTAGAGGAGAAGCAATGGCGGACGAAACGAGGTTCCATCGAGATGTTAGGTTCTATGGCTTACTGCGCACCAAAGGAGCTTTCATTGTCCCTCCCTACCGTCATACCGCGTTTGACTGGAGTTTTGACCGACTCTCATACCCAAGTTCGTGCGGCTGCAAATCAGAGTCTGAAGCGATTCGGTGAAGTGATTAACAATCCCGAGATTCGCAATCTCGTGCCTGTTCTGCTAAAGGCGCTTGTGGATCCCGCCACTAAAACTCCTTCTGCTTTGCGCGCACTACTGGACACCTCCTTCGCACATTATATAGATTCTCCATCCCTCGCTTTGGTATGTTCTTTGGACGGCTTAGTAATATATGCACTTATCCTCTGTAGGTTGTTCCTATAGTTGAGCGTGGGCTTCGAGAACGAGGGGCCGATACAAAGCGGAGATCAGCGCAGATTGTTGGGAATCTTGCATCACTGACTGATTCAAAGGACTTCGTGCCGTATCTTGACAAGCTGATCCCGCTTGTTCGCATTGTTCTCGTTGGTGAGAGCATCTCATTCTCAGTACCATCAGTCAGCGACGCTCATTTTTTTCAGATCCTGTACCAGAAGCTCGAGCTACAGCCGCCAAAGCGCTAGGCACCCTGGTTGAACGTTTGGGTGAGGACAAGTTCCCAGATCTCATGCCAGGCCTGCTGCAAACCCTGAAGACGGACACCTCCGGTGTAGACAGGCAGGGCGCCGCTCAAGGCCTCAGTGAAGTGCTTTCTGGATTGGGCATGGAGCGCATGGAAGCGCTTCTTCCTGATATATTGGTCAATGCCCGCAGCACTCGTCCTTATATTCGAGAAGGCTTCATGTCTTTGCTCGTGTACTTGCCTGCTACCTTCGGAACACGCTTTGCACCGCACATCCCGAGAATTATTCCCCCCGTCCTTGATGGTTTGGCTGACGACGGGGAGACTGTCCGAGAAGTGTCCATGAGAGCTGGCCGTATTATCATTGGCAACTACTCCAAGACTGCTATTGACCTCCTGCTTCCTGAGCTCGAGAACGGTATGTTCGATCCTGGCTGGCGCATCAGGGTAAGTACAAGTGTCATACTCTCCTCCGACGCTTATATTGCGCCAGCAATCATCCATCACTCTTGTTGGCGAGTTGTTGTTCAAAATTTCGGGTATCAGTGGGAAAAATGAGATTGAGGAGGATGCCGAGGACGGTGAAGAAGACGTCGGTGGGGAGTCTTCCAGAAAAGTTCTCGTCACAGTATTGGGCAAAGAACGCAGAGATCGCGTGCTGGCTGCGTTGTACATTGTGCGTCAAGACGCTGTTGCTGTTGTTCGCCAGGCATCAGTCCATATCTGGAAAGCTCTCGTTCAAAACACACCAAGAACTGGTGAGATGGCACACCTCGACGTTGAAACTTGAGTTGCTGATACGTTGCAGTCAGAGATATCCTTCCTGCCCTTATTAATCTGGAAATCACACTCTTAGCAAGCGAAGGAGGAGAGCAGCGCGAGGTACCGTTACAACCGATGTGGATTCGGTGATTCTGACTGCTACTATCTAGACCGCTGCTCGGACAATGGGTGAATTGTGCCGAAAGCTGGGGGAGAAGATTCTCGGCGCAATCATTCCTATTCTGAAGGCTGGCTCTGGGTCCGAGAACCGAAGAACTCGCGAGGGTGTCTGTCTGGCCTTATGTGAAATCATGTGAGCGCTGTATCACTCGCTTCCACCCCCAGGCGACTGAGGTTCTTTCGAGGAATAACACCACCGACACTCAACGTGAGAGTCACGAAGAGGGAATTATTGCAGCAGTGCGTGACTCGTTGGTTGACGAGTCACCTACTGTTCGTGCTGCTGCAGCACAAGCGTTTGATGTTATGCAGGAACGCATCGGTCCTAAAGCTATCGATCAGACAATACCGACTCTCCTTCATGCTCTTCGTCAACCAGGTGAAAGCGCTCAAACGGCATTGCAGGCTCTTAAGGAAGTGATGGCTGTCCGTGCGGCAACCGTGCTCCCCGCGTTATTGCCCACCTTGTTGGCAACACCCATCACTTCCTTCAATGCTCGTGCGCTGAAGTCATTGGTCTCAGTAGCAGGTCGCGCTTTGAGCAGACGTCTTAATCAGATCCTGGGCACCCTAGTGAAGGCGTTAGAGACGGAAAACGATGAAGAGATCGTGATCGACATTCAACAGGCTGTTGAAGCATTACTCGGCGCCATTGTTGATCCTGAAGGTTTGAACACTTGCATGATGATCTTGCTTGGATGGGCAAAGAACGAATCGAGCGCGCGGCGTGCTAGTGCTGCGAAACTCTTCGCTAGATTCTGTCAGGTGGCGCAGTTGGAGATCTCGGACTATCGGGTTGACTGGATCGTAAGCTTTAGCCTTCCTGACCCCTCGCCGAATCGGCTGATTACTTCTACAGCGCCAATTGGTGACAATGCTTGATGATCGGGAACAATCAGTGGTAGATTCAGCCGCGATTTCCCTTGACACACTAGTGAAAACGACAGACAAGGACGAACTGGAGAGCATGGTTGTGCCAATGCGTCGAACTCTCGAGTCGTTAGGGGCACCTGGTCGCCATGTGCCTGGTTTCACCAACACGAAGGGCATCGCTCCTCTTGTCCCAATTATCCTGACTGGCCTCACAGGCGGCACAAACGAGCAGAGTACGCGCATATATCGGTCAGCATGTTCGACACTAACGTGCTTTCATAGAGGAACAAGCCGCCTACGCTATTGGCGATATTGTCGAGCGTGCCTCCGAGCCTGCCATCAAGCCTTATGTTGTTCAGCTCACAGGTCCTCTTATCCGTGTCATCACGCAAGCAACAACATTCCCTCCTCAAGTCAAATCCGCAATCCTTTCCTCCCTCACCATCATGCTCACAACCATCCCAACATTCGTCAAGCCCTTCTTCCCACAGCTGCAAAGGACATTCATCAAATCCGCCTCCGACCCGGCCAGCTTGTCCGTGCGGAATCGGGCAGCAGTCGCACTTGGTGTTCTGATGGCGCTCCAAACGAGGGTGGATCCCGTTGTCACAGAGCTCATGACTGGTGCCCGAAGTGGGGAGCCAGAAATTCGCTCAAGCATGGCTGTCGCATTAGCGGCCGTGGTCAAGGGTGCTGGGAAGTCAGTTGGCGAAGTGGCCCGCTCGTCGCTGCTCGAGCTGGTGTCCGATACATTTGCAGAGCCCGTGACAGAATCATATAACAGCGCGATCGCTGATCTATTTGCGGCATTGGCGCTGCATGATGAGAGTCTTACCCGATCCCTTGCTGAGTATGGATGTCTTGTCTTCTCCTCCTAGCAGATTACTTATCACTCAAACAGGGCACAACTCACCCCCCAGACCCCTCCGAGCGCGATGGCCAGCTTGTCCATCGTCTCTTTCCTAGAAACCGTACCAGACGCCTTCTACACCTACAACATTGTACCAGGTGTGGTTCGAAAAGTGATCGTCAGCATCAACATGGACACGCCGGCAATCTCGAGACCTGCAAGGGAGGCGAGGGAGTTGCTGAAGAATACAGCACCTTATGTGGACGATGAAACCGTGCACACGGCCTTCTGAGAAGTGTAAGTACGCAGGTGGATAGTGGGAGTTGTTGTGGGATTGTCCGACCGATCCCTTAATGAAGGCATGAGTTTTATACGCACAATCACAGCCATCTGTGCGTACATGTGCACGGTTATGTATGGTCAACAAAAGGAACCGAACGTCTGAAAGGAACTCAGCGGCCCGAGATTGTCTGAAAGACCGACTATCCGCAGAGTGAGTCAACCTGAGAACATTAATGTCGGGCAATACATAAGCCGATGACCGGTTATCGGGTTGGAATTCAAATTTTACATTCAAACCTTGAAATTCATATATCAAAGACAGGCGGTCTTTGGTCAGCGATGACGTAGAAGGAAGCTCCCGAGCCAATCAGAGGCCAAGGAGGATCGGGCTCATTTAATCAACCGGCAATTCCAAAGACTTTCGCCACTCACCGCGAGCACGCTCTTGACTTCACAACTTGCACGTCGACCCTTTCATATATGCTTAGGACCACTTGCTGCGGAGGGCTTTTTAGCGTTGGTGACATCTGCAAGGCATCTTTACGAGCTCAATCCGACCGCGGCTTTGGAATGGCTCTAGGCAGGCACTCGGCATCCATTCTCAATCGTGACGTTCCCTCTGTGCCAATGGAAGCACAGTAACCAACTGCATTCAGTACCCCAACGTTCCAAATGCTATGCTGGTCTCTCCGCGATGCAGTGCCTATATTACTTTTATCTTCTTTGTCGGTTTTCAATGGACGCTTTCAGCGGCACATGCGCTCCCTGCCCAGTCCACGCGTTTCTCGCTCGTCTTTCACTGCCGTCATCGCTTATGCGGATAGATTGAATTGACACACTTCTGTATATAACACGCGTAACAGCCAAAGACGAAGTCATCAAATATTGTCACCTCCCGGAGATCTGCACACTGTCGACCATACCCGACCCACAGTTTCGATTCCATAGTGAACTCACATAAACGTTACTGGCAACGTCTCTTGAGCTAAGATCACAATACATCATGGCAGGAAACTCCTTTGATGAATCTCCTCCCTCTACGATCAAGGCTGTTTTGAATACCTGCGTGCTCCCACCCCTAGATGGCTCTATTCCATTTCCGCAATTTGTGGACTATCACCTGGAGAAAAGCCACAACCACCCCTTCTTCGAACTCGTAGGCACAGGTAACGATGCTGACGAGACGATTACCTGGGGCGAGGGTACGCATCCCTCTCGCATAAAGCAGCCAATATATTCTAATTTCGATTTGTACAGCCGCGCGTGCTACATTAAGATTGACGGCCAAATTGAGAAAGCAGGTGCATGTGACGGAGGAACAGCGGAAGGCAGGTGTTATCATTGCCATATTGGCGAACACGGATTCTTTGGTATATTCCACCATTGTTATGGCGATCATGAGGGCTGGTTTCATGGTGCGTTTAGGCTCTTCCCATAATTTCATGCTTATTCATGAGATGCCTCGTGTGTAGGTATTCCCACTGAGCACTCGCAATTCTGTCCCAGCTTTGGAGCATCTGCTCCAGAAAACTTCCTCCCTCTATATGTTCGGATCTCTCCCATCCCAAGGAACGCCTGCCACTGCGTTACAGGAAACGACCGCAACTGTATTGGAGGCGCTTCCCACTATTTAACTGCTCGACATCCCGAAGTATACCGACTTGTATCCCCGTTTGAGCACTAATCCGGCACTGCCGTACGATGCGTTGCAAGATGCGGTTCGAACTCCCGACCTTCCGCCGGTGCAATCATTCCCTGAATACTCCTATGTGGACCAGTATAGCCCACTCGTTTATCTTCATTCATCAGGAAGTACCACCTTCCCAAAGCCCATCCCGATGAACCACAGGTTCTGGATGTCCGTCTGCAGGACTATGATGCAGGGTGGTTTCGAGACGATGGGAACACGCTGGGGTCTCATGAGTTTGCCCGTATTCCATGGCATGGGTATATTCTTGATAATTGTTTCGGCTGCCGCTCGTGAGTTTGCACGTCCATCATGAGACTAAATTATTCTTGACTGGGTCCCAGACGGCACAATTTCCGTCCTGTTCAAGCCGTCCAGCATTCCATCCATACCCTCACCGGAGAAAGTTCTCGAGTGTTGTATTCGTGGTAAGGTTGATTATTTATTTACCGTGCCCAGCTTTTGCGTTGTATGTCCATCAATCATTGTCCCAATTGGGCAGATCCGCCTAACGTGAGCCAGGCCTGGTCGCACAACGAGGAATCTGTTAAGTATCTCGCCACGTTGAAGGGAGTAGTAAGTGTGCAACCTGCTGGCAATGACGAGAGCTTACTCTTACTCAAGATCGCTGGTGGTGGTCCTCTTGTGCCGGAGATCGGCGACCGCCTCGTCCAATCAGGGGTCAATGTCTCTATAGTATACGGCACGTATGTTTTCTTCGCCTTAGAACAGAGAGGACAATGTCTGACACTCCGCTACAGGACTGAAGTTGGCTTGATCTTTCCTATCAATATCATCAAAGACGACCAGGCTGACTGGAATGTACGCTCACGTTTTATCCACCCTCAAAACCCTATTGATCGATGAAGCTAGTATGGACAAATATACACTTCAATGCGCGTCAATCTTATTCCTGAGGGTGATAATATCGTGAGGGTCGTTGTTCTGGTACGTCTCACTTGCATCAAGACCACGTGCTGGTTTCACGAGGATATTTAGGATTCGGATGCGCACCCGATTGCATTCTGTAATCAACCCGAGATAAAGGCCTTTGATACGAACGATTTGCTGGAGCAACATCCCAAACGTAAGAATCTGTGGTGAGTTGTCGGCCGGTAAGTTCGCGCCTTACGGAAGACGTACTGTTATTCATTGCCGTTAACAAACAGTGCTGACGATCAAATTATGATGTCAAATGGGGAGAAGACGAACCCCGGCCCGATGGGTGAGTTCTTTCCCCACCCGCCGGACACAATGCTGAAGCAGTGGTAGAGAATATCATTGGAGGAGATCCAAACGTGAGATCATGTATGACGTTTGGCAGGGGGCGCACACAAGTCGGCATTGCAATCGAGCCCGCTCAACCGATTGACACCTCTAATGAGGAAGAAGTCGCTAAATTTCGCAATCTCATCTGGGTCAGCGTAGAAAAGGCAAACAAGCTCGCACCGCAGCACTCCAGGATCTTCAAGGAATTCATACTTATTATCGATCCGAGGAAGAAAACCTTTCTCAGGACTCCTAAGGGTAGTCTCTCAAGAAATGCGTCTCTGAAGTTGTGCGCCATAGCTGGTTTTCTTGTTACGTGCCCTTGACCCTGTCTCAGATTCGCAGAGGAAATAGAGGGGTTGTATTCTGTGGCAGAACAGCCAACCAAGGCTGAGTGGGCCAAACCTCCTAATGCTTGGGACGAGAGTGCCATACATGAGTTTGTTTCTCGTGTTGTGAATGCTGTCATCGGCCAGAAAAGACAACCTCCTTCGTCAATTGCCGAGTCTCACGATCTATTTGAACAAGGGTGCGATAGGTCAGTGATACGCTCATTTGACACGGGATACAACTGACAGTCCAGTAGCTTACAAGCAACCTATGTTCGTGCGGCCATCACCAATGCGCTCAGACACGCTTCTAAATCCAGCGGAAAGTCAAATATCGCTGCCACTTCAGTACCACACAATCTAGTCTATAAGTTTCCAACTGTCAAAAGCCTTGTTGCGTACCTGACCAAGGCCATCACTTCCACCGAGGGTGACGATCTGCCTCAAATGAACGACACTTCCGTGATCGCACATGACATGTACTCCATGATCGACAAGTATACGAAAGATCTCCCACTGCAGCAGCCTGGTCCTCGCACGATGTCCGGTGAAGTTGTCTTATTGACTGGATCGACCGGCGCCCTTGGAACATACCTCCTTCAGCAGCTTTTGCTCGATGAACGTATCCAACGCGTGTACGCTATCAATCGCATCAGCACCAACCATGCTCTTCTCGCACGCCAGTCTGAAGCGTTCTCCGACAGGGGCGTGGACGTCAAGCTTTTGGAGTCCCCTAAGCTCAGGCTTATTGAGACTGACGTTGGAGCTCCGAACCTTGGACTAAGTACGGAGCTATCCAATGAGGTGAGTATTGCAAACTTGATTCCCTCGCGTGATGCTGACCTTCAAAGATCTGCGGCTGTCTGACGACAACCATTCACAACGCTTGGCGTCTCGACTTCAACCTCTCCCTTTCAGCATTTGAGCCTAATGTGCGCTCTTCACGTGCTCTCGTCGACCTTGCCCTCCAGGCCCGCGGTGTGACACCGACCCAATTCATCTTCACCTCCTCGGTAGGCACGCTCACGCACTGGTCTGAATCACGTCCTGTACCGGAAGAGCTATTGCCCGATCCGGCCATCGCCACAGGCACGGGATATTCCGAATCCAAATGGGTTGTAGAACGTATCATTCTTGCGGCAGCTCAACAGCGTGGACTACGGGCTACAATTTGGCGAGTTGGTCAGCTGGCCGGGAGTACCACGAACGGAGCATGGAATACGACCGACTGGCTTCCTCTGTTGGTGAAGAGTGGAGAGAAGCTAGGCGTTCTACCCGAGTTACGTGGTGTTCTGAGTTGGCTCCCAACAGACAAGGCTGCGCAATCAGTCAGTCCCTTGGCCTTCTTTGTGCTTGTTTATCAATAATGACGGGATCCATAGATATTGGATGCCATGCATTCCAGGGTTAAGGATCCTGTAGGCGCAGCAGAGTATCTTCACCTCGTACACCCGCATCCCGTGTCCTCCGAAGTAGTGATGCAGAGTATCGCCTCTCATCAATCGTGCGAGCTCGTCCCATTTTCTGAATGGGTCCGCAAGCTCGAGCAGGCCGCAGAAGATCACACGGCCGTGCACAACAACCCTGCGATTAAGCTACTGGAATTTTTCCGTGGTGTCGAGGCCAGCGAAGCCAGTCAGATTCAACATAGAGATAGCGGAGAGAGTGGCGAACGTTACAAGGCGAGGGAAGCAATTGGCTTGGCAGATCTGGAGACTACGAAAGCAGAGGAGAAGAGCCAGACGCTAAGGGAGCTGAAGCCTTTGGGTGAAGCGGATGTTCAGAAGTGGTTGCACTACTGGAAGAATAAGGGCTTGTTGGTCTGAGTTTCGAGCGCTGTGGTTGGGAGAATGGGTTGTTAGATTGTCGAAATTTGTAAATCCGCGAAATGAAACCCAACTGAAGGGCATACATGAAGTATATTAACTGACCGGGAAGAACCACAGGACCAGAAACCCATTTTACAACAACCCGTATTTTCGTGGATTTTTCATCAGTTTATTCGTTACAATGATCAAGACAATTCTCTCCGGATGAGCTCCACACGGCCCTCGTCACACGCCTCAAGTGACTTGCTAGACCGAGCACGGTCAAGCAGCAAACGAAACTAAAACTCAGGGAACAAGTGTCCATCTGCACCAGTATCCCCTGGTGCCTGGTTATACTCCGCAAAGTCGACCTCGCTGTACTTCTCAAAGTTCCTACAACGTCGTCAGCACTGTCTCGACTCGGAGATGAACGACTTACAACCCCTCCCCAGGGATCCAGGGCACCCTTATTCCCCCTGCACGTCCGAAATACTCACCCGCGCTGCCCTCCAGCGTCTCCCAGTGTATGCCACCAAAGAACGGGTCGAGCATGACGTTCTCTGTGCCCTCATCCACCTTATCCACCTCTTTCTCGAGGCTCGAGATACTTGCGCGACTCTTCTCCGACACCTTGCCATGCCCATAGCGACGCGATAAGTCCTTTGTCATCGTCCGCTGTAAAAAGTTTATCTCGATGTCACCCATGTATTCCCTGGGATAGATGACCCTCCCGTCCAAGATGCGCTGATAGAGCATAGCCGGGTTCGGGGCAACAAACGGCGGTGCCCCAACAAGCATCTCGTACACTAGTATGCCGAGGGAATACCAGTCCACCGACTTTGTGTACGGCATGTGTGCGATCAGTTCGGGGGCAAGATAGTCCGGCGTGCCACAAAGGGTGAACGTTATGTCCGGAACGTACTTTGCGAACCCGAAGTCCGTGAGCTTTATATGCCCCGAGGGGGTGATGAGGATGTTCTACCGGCCCGTTAGTCCGCATGAGGCGAGGGGCAAGGGAGGGTAACGGACCTCGGGCTTCAGGTCGCGGTAGATGATATCCATCCTATGCAGGTATCCGAGTGCGAGCACAACTTCCGCAGCGTAGAACCTCGCCACCGTCACTGGGAACCTCTCCGCCCTCCGGAGAAGGGTATACAGTTCACCCCCAGCGACGTACTCCATTACCAAGTACACATTCGTCGTGTCCTGCCAGCTGCCGTATAGGCTGACGAGGAACGGACAGCGCCCGGCAGAGGAGGCGTCATACGCTGCTTCAGAGGGGTGGGAGGCAGCGAATAGCAGGGCACGTTCGGCGTTTGTATGCTCAACTTGGAAGAGCTGGACTAGCTTGGACTTGCTGAGCACTTTGACGGCGAATAAGCGACCGTTGTGGTTTGATCTCACTACAGGCGTTAACGTTAGTATAAGCAGCAGCCTAGGATGACGCCGCTAGGAAGGAGTTGGGAGGCAGACACACCTAAGACGACCCTCCCAAACGTGCCCGTCCCGAGAGTACGGCTCCAATCGAACTCGTCAAACTTGTAATGCTGGGCCTTTTTCTTCATCCCCCCATTCGCACCAGGACTCGTACCTAGCACACCCTGGGCGACCTCCCTACTCCTCTTCACCTCGGATCGCACCTCCTCCCCTGGATCAGGCCAATATTTGCCTCCAACCCAACGGCGCTCACAAACGCGGTACCATTGCTCGACCCACTTGGTGCTGCTAATGTACACGGGCCCGAGATCGGGGTAGGACACGAGGAGGGACGAGAGCTGCTCCGGTTGGTAGGGGTTGGAAGAGTCATGAGGGGGTGGCACGGGGGTGAGAGCGGGTGGGAGAGCCCAGAAATGCGATAGACTAGGATTGGGAGGGAGGGCACGGATGACGGGGGTCGGACCGGAGGGGACAGGCGCGGGAGCGGGGGAGGAAAGGTCGACACTCGCGCGCTGTTGGGTGACTCCCATACCCGCATATGCAAGCTCTAGACCTTCCATCTGCATCTCGGCCAAACTGGTGCGTACGTCCATCCCCAACTCTCCTCTGCTATCTCTCATCTGTCCCAGCGCAGGCACGGAGAGATGTCCCTGCTCTTGTTCGGGAGAGTAGAACTGCACCAAATCCTCATATGAGAACCCCGAGAAGTCGCCGCTAGAGAGGAGCTGTTCCATAGTCTGCATATCAGGGCCTTCGAGTTCCATACCCGGACTTCCTGGAGCAGGAGACGGGGAATGAGGTAGAGGGAAGGGAAAGGGGCGGAAACGGTCCCAATAAGGTGCAGAAAGGGAGGTGGGGGAGGGAGGGGGGAGAGAAACCTCGCGTAGTGTCGGAGTGCGGTACTGAACTTGGTTTGCTAGGGGTTGTTAGTTACGAAACTGATGTTGTGGTGAAGTTCTGTAAAGAGTGCGTACCATGCAGATCCATGTCCTTATTCACCCAAGAGCGATCACAGGGAGCGCAGCACTAGCACAAACACAAGCAAGAAAGAGGCGAAATGAGAAAAGCAAGAAGACGAGGAAAGTGTCTCGGGCAGTTTAAGAGCCTCAGTCAATGTTGCTTGATATCCCTCCCCTCGGGCAATGGACAAAAACCGACCATCCCGTTATCAGTCCATGTTCCCACGTGGTGCAGAAGCAACAACTTTTGTTTGTATCGCTCCTTTCAACAACGGACGGATGCATTTTGTACAGCCCTTTTGCAAGGGGATTGCATCGATTGTTGTTTGATAGCCATCCGCATCCTGTTCAATGTCTTATTACTATTCTCTTATTCTGGGCTATCGTCTCGCAAAGACCAGTACTGTCCCTGGTTTTGACACTCGACCCTGGAAGACAGGCGGCCACAAAGGCCAAACGCCGCTTTAACATCGACATCCATCAAACCAATTCTGGACGCGGATCCCTAGCAACGCGCTTCAAACAAAGGAGAACATGAGGCGCTTCAAAAGATGATGACATGTTCATCCATCCTCTGATGCAGGATACTAAGCTCGAGAGATGAGCGGATACAGTCGCCTCATCATCTTCATGAGTCAGCACAATCACATCTGCAATCGGGGTTAGAGGTGCCCTATCTTGCTTTCCTCTCACTCACAGCTCCGCAATGATAGAAACGAAACGCTGGCAGGACGGAACTAGTGGGACCGAAAGAAGCAGTTCCATCGAAACACGTCGGGTTCATCGTGTAGTCTCAACTCCGATTGAACGTGTCCTGTCCATCGTGGAGCTGATAGCCGGTTGCATGAGGGCTCCTACGTACAGATACGTAATGGGTGTCGCGTCCTTGGTGGCGACGATCGTTTTCGACATGTGGGGAAACAAAAACGTGCTCCGACTACCGGCACGGGAAATATGATATCTTGACAAACTCAGCATCACACCGACAGAAGTATGTTGATATCGCATACAATTTTTCTGATACACAGACACACGGCACAAGTACCTCAATCTCATGATTGATCAGTTCACTTCAACGACGGTTCATATTCGTCGTACAAGTCGAAAATCTACAGCTTCGACAGCAGCTCTCCGCTTCCGCATCTCGCGACTGGATCTGCGACGGCTTCTGGGATGACAGTCGTCTCGGGACGGAATGCCAACATCCAGTCATGGAAGAATTGTCTCCAAGTGAGTTTGGTGGGCACGAAATGTTCGCCATCATGGTATTCGATCCTCGGCCGCTTGAAGACCGCTGCCAGCATATGCGAGTCCGAGTTGTGGATATAGGTATCGTTGCGTCCAAAGACGTGCAAGCTCGGCGTGCGGATCATTATCGGAGGTAGAGATGGCTCTATTGGCAGAAGACCGGATGCAAGGACGACGAACTTGAATGGTGGATGATTACAGTTTTCGAAGAGTGGGTGGGCGTCTCGGTTCTCGAGCTGGAATATGTTAGTAAGGTTGCCAACGGCCCTGCGAGGGCCGACTCACGAATGAGCAAAGATAAGAAGCAACGATGCCGCCCTGACTGAAGCCGAAAATACCCTGTCTCAGGCGCGTTTGTGAGTTTCATCCACAAGTTCTCAGACTACAACATACGTTGAATCGGTCCGAGTCTAACACCGACCTCAAGAGCTTGAATGATTGTTCGATGTCGTAGAATACTGTCCTTGTTTCATTGAATGTGAACCAGCCACGTGGCGTCCACTCATTCACAGGCTTCGTGGGCAATCGTCAAAGAGTGGGGAAACCGTCTTCGTCTACCAGAGAGAGACTGTTGTAGGGCTCATCGCTCGGTCGAATCACAATAGGCAGGCCCATTCAGAAACACTAAATGGATGACCGTTGCTCAGCTTCGAAGGGCAGATCAAAAATAAAGAACGCGTACCAAAGTCGACGTCAGCGGCGCATTCCTTCGCGATAGCGCCAATCTATCGCAGGGAAGTCAATGAAGCACTTCGATTGTCATTCGCAACGGTGCTCACCGCCTTCTGAAATCTGAGTGCGTTTTGCCCGAAACCGTGAAGTGCAAGAACACGTAGTTTTCTCATAGTGTCTAGCTGAGTAATCTCCAGTAGGATACCAGGAGCCTATCGATCACTGCCTGTTGAACAGAGGGCTAGATATATCCCCTGGCATCAACACGCCAGCATGCTAGGTAAGCGGCCCTGCATTCTCCCTGTATCGCGGCCGAAGTAGATCCGAATCTTCCACTTTCACTTCTTCGTTAATGAAAGGCGATCGACTAGAAGAGACGGTCGACAAGGAAAGCGCTCAAAGCCAGACCGTCCTGATCAAATGTATCTCTCCACATCTGGAAGGCACCGCCCCAGGCGCGTGCACGCAGTAGTTGCTGAGAGACACAGACGGGTTGGCTTGGAAAGCAGAATTACTAGCATGACAACTGGTAGGTTAGTATTGCTGAACAGTAGATTGCAAGTAGATGAATGTGCGCCAGATGGTAAAAGGAGAGCGCGAATAACATGGTCATTTGGGCGAAGACTGAGAAATCACAGGCGCTCGGGAGCAATGCGGCTGCAATGAGAACTTCTACTCGCCCTCGTCGAATCACAAGCAACGCGCTGTCTGTCGACTTTTGGAGAAATGTAGGGTGACTCCATCCTCGTATCTTCTTCTACTCCTTCTCCGGTCCCGCGGCATCCGTCTCGAGCGCTGTGTACCTCTGTGCCCCTCCGAGCTTCGAAAGACTCACGCAGACGCTTCGAGTGCGGTGGAGAATGAAGAAGCTCGTTGCTTTACGTAACCTCATGCAAAACACGATATGAGGAGAGTGGTGGGAAGGTAGAAGGAAGGGGCTCTGACTGTGAGGGCAACCGGCGCTTGCATACCGCCGGGTTTTATAGGGGCAAGATTCCATGGACAACCAAATCCTGACCCCTCCAACATGTCGTCTAAACTTTCAACATATCCAATATTCCACCGAGCTTCCCACTCCAGTAGAGCCTCCAGATCTCTATCATGCTTCGGACTGTGACCAGCATATGAAGACAAACATACGATGATGGTATGTGCCGATTCGCTCGAATGCACATATCGGTCGAAGAAAACCCGCGAGATGTGCTGCTCGCTCCTCTGCTGCGCATGCAATGGAAAGCGAGTAGAGAACGATGTAGTCAGCTGGGTTCTGTTGTTCCTGATCGACGTCAGAAGGCTTGTTGTAATGAGGTCAAGGAAGAGGTGAGCCAAAGCAAGGAGGACGTGCGGTGTCACTCGGAAATACCAAACAATTCACGATGGCGCAAGGGGAGTCAAGGATGGGAAACCAGTCCAAGACCAACTTCCCACGATTTGGTCATGGAATTAAGTGCTCACATGAGGAGTCATGAACAACTGTAAACAAGCTAGGTTTCTTGGGGGTTAAACCTGGGTAAACCAGTGCAACGTGATCGATGAGGCTGGAGGACGCTGATGGGCGGGTGTTCTGCTGTATACAATTACACCTAGTCCGACTTCAATGATGATAGAATATCCATCTTGTTGCATTCATTTCGCTTACGAGAGCCAAGCTATAATATCACAGTGCTTCAACAATAGGAGGTATTTGCACATATGCAATACAATACATCCACGGGTCTAGTTTGCAGGTCTACAATCGTGTGTCAAGTCGTCTATCACCATATGCTGCTTGAAAGATCACTACCCCAAATGTCTGGTCTATATAGCGTACGACGGTCACAGTACCCCTCTTGGTGTCATCGTTCCACTTGCTGGCGTTTGCGCCCCACTTGGGGTATCGTCCCCTGCGGACGGCACTGGGGACGGAATATCATCTGGCTTCCTGATGGATTCGGCGGAAAAGGCGGCCATCCATTGATGGAAGAAATGTCGCCATGACGCTTTTGATGGAACATAATGACCTGACAAAGGAGGATCAGGGGCCGACTCCCATGTAGGAAAACCCGTTCAAGACGCACTGCCTTCATGATACTCAACGCGCGGCGCAATGCAGATATCGACGAGCGTCTCAGAACGCTTCGGAGACACGAGCGTGTCGGTCCTGCCAAGGATGTGTACGTTTTTCGTGCGAATGTGGTGCTCTATTGGGGGACACATGGGCGCAAATCCGGAGATGAAAATGGCGAAGTCACTGGAGATCAGTCAGCACCCGATCGAAGTATTTGAGGACGGGGTCACCCACAATGCAGGATGTGGGGGTGGGTTGAACATAGGTTGGGCGGATGGCTCCTCAAGCTGACAAGAGGTCAGTAATTTACCCTATCCGCCTCAAAATAACGTGAGGACGTACATATGCAGCGAGATATGCAGCCATGCACGCTCCCTGGCTGAAACCGAGAATACCCTAACAATCTGTCAGCAAGTAGATCGCAGAGGTGCGAACACCTGCACTCACATGGAAGCGCTCTTTCTCTAGTATATCTCTCAAGTACCTCAAGCTATCCTCCAGACCATAGTATTCAGTCTTCTCATCGTTGGCCCTCCACCATGCCCGAGCAGTGAGCTTCGGATCGTCCACCCATTGAGCGGCACCCCCCTCAGAGTCGAACTCTGATAGGTTCGCCCCCGGTAGGTCGGCAGGCTGCAGCACTATTGGTCCATCGACAAATACTACAACAACAATTCAATCCATAGATCGGGGGCTCCGAAGATGTTCCTTACCGAACTCGATGTCTTTCGCACATGCCTTCCTAATAGCACCAAGCTATTCGCATCGTTCGTCAGTGCCAATTACTCATCTTCCCAGGGCATTTCAGAATACCTTTTTGGAAAACATGTAGGCATTCTGGGTATAGCCGTGCAGGGCAAGCAAGCGAATCATGAGTAAGGACGTGTTGTTGAGAACAACATGTCGACAGCAAACATTTTGAATAAAATTCTGACTGGATTTGTCAGCCTCCGCTTTTGGGAGATAAGCGCCCGTGTTTAAGCCCATCCCTGACATTCCTTCCCACTTCTTGGTATTGAAGCTGTAAACTGATACACTATTTTACAATCCTGGATACCTTCCACCCTCCAAGAAAAAATAAGTCGATTACATCACGATTGTCTCCCCACGCGTCCAGACAAGCCATTTGTTCGTGCTGATCAGCGCAGGGCCCGATGGCACCGCCAATTTCTCCGCATTCGCAGGTGAAATTACAGTTTGGCCGAGGACTCGGGACCCATCGTAGCCTTTGATCGATCTCGGAACTGGACTAGGGACGTCCTCCGGCCTCAAGGCCGAATTAGGCTTGAAGGCGCACATCCATTCCTGGAAGAATCGCCTCCAGGTCGCCTTGGTCTGTACGAAGTGCCCACCCTCGTGCATCTCCACTCTCGAGTACAAGCAAGCGTCTACAAGTGGCCAAGATGTTTCACGGCCGATATGGGTGTCATGCTTTCCGAGAATGTGAAGGGTTGGCAAGCGTAGGGAGTGCGGCAGGGGAGGATCGATAGGGGGGAAACCCGAGGCAAAGATGGCAAAATGAAAAGGAGGATGCGGCCGGGTGCTGAAAAGCGGGTGCGCGCTAGGGTCTTCTAACTGCGAAGAGGATAATGAGCAGATGCCTCACGGGTATGCACGGGCCTTACATATGCGCAGATATACGACGCCAAAGCGGCGCCCTGACTGAACCCGATAATACCCTAATCGACAATCAGTCATGAGTCATGGAAACAACTGTAGCCGTACGTCAAAGTGTTCTCGTTCCAATACCCTCTTTACGGTCAAGAGGCCTTGGTCCAGCCCATAATATTTCGTCCTGTCTTCATTGAACAGGCACCACGCACGTGGTGCCGATTGTCTGTCCAAAACCGGCTTGTGATTTTCCAGCGGATATCCGTCCTCGTCAACCAGAGATCCCGTGGGTTGGTCTGGCTGATCAAGGACTACCGGTCCGTCAACGAATACTATGTCAACGAGGCGAGTCAGTTTGATGGATCACGTGCCATGGATCGGAACGGAAAAACGCACCGAACTCTATATCGTCCTTGCATTGCTTGCAAATTGCGGCGATCTGATAAGACAACCTGTGAACACCTGGATCCGTTTGGGGACAGCATAACATTGCACCGGCTTACTTGGATCTGGAAGATATGGGCGTTTTGACCATACCCATGCAGCGCAAGGACCCGAAGCTTTGTCATTCTTCCACCTTATGGAGGTTGCTGTTCTGGGAAATGAGAGTAGGAAATACTGCCAGTCTGAGACCGGAGCTCTTTCCAAGGGGGAAATAGACACTGCACGTCAGAGATCAAGCTTCAGAGGCCGAAAGAAGGGATGGTTGTTCGGTATGCTTTTAGGGGAGATAGAGGCCTTGCTGCAGATATACTGCACCAAGGCAGAGCGAACAGTGGTATTTATCTCCTTTCTCCCATAGCGGCGAGAAGATAGCAAGGCCGATCAACACCCCAAAGATCAGTCCAGTGTCCCGGAGAGCAAATGCCCGCTTGCTAATGTCGCCGTTGTGCTCGTCAAGGGCGCTCCACACGATATCAAGGGAAGAGAGGGAAAATATTTGGCGCGGGCGATGGCTGCTTTGGAAGCAGTAATCGGGGAGATGAGGCATGTCTAAATAAAAGAACGTTGTTGAATAAAGGGTAATGGTGATTGTGGATTATAGAAGTCGAAGTTATTGAATAAGAAGTATGTGACCGCGAGCACGTGTGAGGAGACGCGGACGGAAAAGAGCGCCGGTGCACCACAAGCCCCCGGCTTGACCAGCGTACAGGGGGCGTCTGAGGATCCCTGACCAACAAGGGGAACAGTGACGAGAGAGCGAAATGGCGAAAGGCAGAGCGCGAACGAAATGGAAAAGAAACGCCGAGATTGTCAGCGAGGATTCCGGATTCGGTTCTCCTGATGATGTCGTGTCTGCGTCGCATGATTCTTATGAATGGAGCGTCTTGCCGCCCCAAAGAAAAGCGAGTGGCTCTAATGAGGGTTATCGATCTTCGAAGGGTGGTTTGGATCGTGGAAGTGAACGAGAACGAGCAGCGGGCGGAGATTCGGCGACCGAGAAACGATAATAGGACCGGAAACGAGCATCAAGGCAAACCAGAAATATCGACGCCAGCAGCAAAGCCAGCAGCTTGGGCAAAAAGAGGACGTTTTTGGAGTTGTTTGCACCGATATCAAGCTCGCGTCAAGACTCTAAACGCCGAGGCATAACCATATGATCAGGAGTCCATTACGAGCCCGAACAAAACATCGAAGACGTGAGAGGATATCTTGAGCGTATTGGGCGCTGACGAGGATCCGCTCCTGCCGATCGCTCTTAGTTTAAAGCACAGATAATCATATGGTATGATCCAACTCACCAGCGCCAGCTTATCCTGAGCGTATTGCCCATCCGAACATCAGCTTCAGTCGCCGGTTCTTAGAATGAACGGACGATCATCTCATCTCCTCGTGCTCTCGACCCTCATCTCACCCATCGCGGGCCTGGCCGAGTGGCGATCGGGATCATGATTTCGGCGGTTACGGTTACACTTATGCTTGCGGTCAGATGGGAGGGCCGATCGGGTGAGAGCAAACTGCCGGATTCGGGGGCAAGATGATGGTGCGAGCTGAAAGTGGACTTGGTTGTTATCGGGAGAGATATCGCAAGTTGGGCCGATGAGGCGCACGACGGGAGTGTTGAACCGATAGGTGTACCCTCCGCGTCAGGCGCTCGCTTTTCCACTCGCTGCTGAATCGGCCCCCTTATTTTGTCGAAGGGAGACATGTCGCGTCCTGAGGGGGAGGCGCAAGAGTCACCCCCGACCGGGAAAGACGTCCCAACCCAAGCTGCGGCTGGCTGCTCCACCGGCACTCGGATCGGCTCCCCGAGTCTTGAGGAAAAAGATACGGCCAACGACGATGAAGGATACGATGAATGTACCGAGGGGGACGGCGGCTCGTCCAACTCTGCTTGCGTCTCTACCTGTAAAACAGGCGCAAAGCAGGAGAGCAACCCATCTCCTCTCCCCCTCCCCTCCCCACATGCCCCCCAAGGCACCGGGCTCTTCAGCTCTCTGCTTATACTCTCGCCTCGATCCAGAAAACCACGCATATATGCACTCCGAAACCCCCTCCAGGTTTTCTTAGTAGGCAGCCAATGACCACCTTCGTGCATCTCCACCCGCCCACCTCGACACAGCCGCGCAAGCGCCAGCGAGTCAGCGTGCGGCATATGGGTGTCCGTTCGTCCCAGCACGTGGAGGGAGGGTGTGGAGAGGGATGAGAGCGGTGGGTCTCTGGGTGGGAAACCAGAGAAGAGGAGTGCGAACCTCAGCGGTGGGTGGGAGAGGTTGGCGAACAGCGGGTGCAAGGAGGGATGTGCTAGCTGCGAGGGGTTAATCATCTCTTGTGCCCTGCGTGCAAGGGAGACGTACGTAAGCACAGATATATGCTGCTAAGGCCGCACCTTAGCTGAAACCTAGGATTCCCTATTCCCTATCAGGCCCCTCCCCCCTTGCAGAAGAAGACACGTACGTCAATTCTCTCCCTTGCCAACAGCGCCCTTACAGGCTCTAAGGACGCGTCAAGCCCGTAATAACGCGTCTTCTCCGCGTTGGACGTACACCACCCACGCGGTGCGTCCTCCGGAGAAGGGAAGAGAGGAGGGGGGAGGGGGAAACCGTTGTCGTCTACCAGGGACGCAGTGGGTGGTGTAGGACAATAGAGGATATGGGGAGCGTCGAGGAATACTGGTGCTCGTCAGCTGTTATCCATCTTTCCAGGAGAAAGACGGACCGAACTCGATGTTTCGCATTCCCTACACAACGCGCGCAGCTAGACGCGTCAGTCCGAGCCGAAACATACATAGGAGTGGGGAGACAGACCTGTGCACGAAAGATACGCGTGTTCTGGCCATAGCCGTGTAGGGCTAGTACGCGGAGCTTTGACATCGACTTGATTGAACAGGGTGGACTTGCAGTCGTTCTGGGTCACCCAACCTCCCGGGGGTCGAGCTTGTTTATACTCCAGCGTTGCGAGAGTAGGATGTACAGCCTATCAGGAAGCTTGCATCGGGAGGACCACGCAGTGACAGGCAGGCAGACAGGCAGGCAGGGATATAACAACGCCAAGCTGTCAGCTAGCTGAGGCCGCTGTCCATTCCCGCTGCCCATGCCTCGTACCCAAGGCAGATCTAGGATCAAGATCCATCGACAGAACCAGGTCATAGCAGAGTCACAAGCCAGCAGAGTCAACCGGAGCCGGAGCCGGAGAGACAGCCGGACACGGATAAACAACGAGCGAGTGTCAGCCGCAGAGCATCGGAAGCGCGGTCCAGTGCCGGGCTGTTGTCCGGGTCTCGGGTTCTGCGTGGGAGGTGCAAGGTGAGGGCGGTGCTGTGGTTCCAGGCCTGTGCACTAGTACCCTGCAGGGTTGTAGGGTTGGGAATGTGTCCTCCCAGGGTGATGATTTCCGGGACAAGAGTCATGCTGGTAAGCAAGAACGTTGACACCGGCTTATACATACCCGGAAGGTGCGACAAGAATAAGTGTAAAGAGCAGAGTCATCAACGTGCGTCCTGTCTGGGCCGGATCGCAATACATATCGGGGGTTCTGGAGAAGACAACTCACACGGTGGCAGTGTATTTTGCGTTAGGGCGCCATGGTAACCATCACATTAATAAACGGGGACGGAGATTGATGATTGATGAACCACTTTCTACTCTGTGTAAAAAGCAAACGTTTATCTGATTCCATTCATAGGTGTCTCGGAATGCACATAATTGTGATCGGGGTGAGACAATAATGACGAGAAGGGTTGGGAGCGGACATGAGACAAGACCAGAGGTTTATGTCACTATTGGGCACGTGTGGCCAGAGGCTTCGGAGATGGTGAGCATCGGGCGTGTCATGCTGCGAAGTCGTAGTTGGAAGTAGAACTAGAAGTTAGAGTGTGCGCTACACGTCCTAACAGTGTAAGCTTATGTTGGTTTGTTATCCTTAACACACAGAGACGAAAGCTGGGTGGCAAGAAAGTGGTTCTCATCGGACACGGGCCGCCGACCGGGAAGGTTCCCGACTCCACGTGCACCGATCGATTACATAATTCGTGGGGGAATTCACATGCAACGAACCAATGTCGATTCTGAAATCGACGATCCCGACGTTGTCGCTCGTCTGTTCATCGAGTGTTTGTGTCTTGCGCCTCTGTGTCCATCGGTTGTGATCGGTGTTGAATACCTCACTCACTCGTGCGTCGTTCGTCACCGGTGAGGTAATCGACCCATCCGCACAAATTTGGGGTGCAGTTTCAACACACGTGAAGTTGCCTTCATTCCGATAGCTGTGCAGCTACATGCGCCCACCCTACTCAGTCCCTGTGACTCGCCCCTCCTCTTTCAGCATCATCAATTGATATCAACACCACCGTGCGTCTGGCAATCTTCCATTGTCAGCTTCTTCTAACACTTGACAATACCCCCTCCCTCTCCCTCTTCCTTCTCTTAAAGGCATACGTTCACTCTCACCCGATCTACCAACAACGGAAGGGAAGGGAAAGAAAGGGAGGATTCAGATCGGGAGAAGTGGGGCGCACGTTGATCGGCTGAAACGCGCATTCTTGCCATATACGGTTACAAGAAAGAGTATTTGAACCAACCCGAAATGTATCAGTATCATCCATCGCTCAAGATGCCCTCGGTCGAAAGCCTCTCCACCCCCACCGCCAGCCCTCTCTCATCCCCCATGGTTCCTCCAACCATCGTCACCACTTCCGTCCCGCTCCTCCAGCCAACACCGGTCAAGCCTACCTCGCTCGCCCCGCTCTCTCCGAACCATACGAGGACGAGCAACCCCTTCTCCCCCCTAATCAATGGCGGGTCGGGCGACGTCGGCAAGTGGGAGAGCTTCATGTCGCGCTATGGTGGGGCGCCGGGGTGGGAAGATGCTGCTCTGGACCGGGTGCGTTCACTTCCCAATATATGCGCATTTTCATCCATTGACTGACGAATTACAGGCACTCATGGAGCCTTTCACGTACACCACTTCCCACCCTGGGAAAGACATCAGGCGCACGATGATCGCTGCTTTCAACAGGTGGCTGCACGTCCCTGCCGAGAAGCTGGACGTGATCAGTCGCGTCGTTAACATGCTGCATAATGCTAGCTTGATGTACGTCTCCTCCCTTCTCTGCTCTACGGAATAGGGGCTGACCATGCACAGGATGGACGATGTGGAAGATGACTCAGCGCTGCGCCGCGGCTTCCCTGGTACGCCCGCTCCCTATCTCGTGGATGTCGGCTGACGCGAGTAGTGACGCACAAGATATACGGCATACCACAGACGATCAATACCGCCAACTATATCTATTTCCTCGCTTACCAGGAATTGTTCGCTCTGCGTCAGGGGCATGCCGCGTCCGCGCACAAGGACGTCCTTCCCGAGGTCCAAGCGCAGGATGTCTCCGACTCCGAGGGCGAGGAGGAACAGAAGCAGGGACAGCTCGCTCAAACCCAGCTACATGCGGTACAGGAGCCGCAGTCGCAGCCTCAGCCTCAGACGAGATCCCTGGGATTGGACGAACTCGTCACGGAGGAACTTATCAACCTGCATCGTGGACAAGGGTTGGACTTGTTCTGGAGGGACAGTCTGATCTGCCCTACGGAGGAGGAATACGTCAATATGGTGCTGAATAGTGCGTCTCCCTTCCCCTGTGCCCGTGTTTGGGTTGTACTGACGTGTATGCAGAGACCGGAGGGTTGTTCAGGCTGGCGGTGAAGCTCATGATGGCGTGCAGCGAGAGTAACGTGTATGCGTCTTATTTCCACTTTCGTTCGCAGTGCAACTGATGCTTGCGCACAGGGATTACGTACCCCTTGTGAACCTTATCTCGGTGCTCTTCCAGATTAGGGACGACTACGCCAACCTGGAGTTGAAGGAGGTACGTCCTGTTCTCATACCGAAGGGAATATAGCCATGCTAACATTGCGACAGTACTCGAGCAACAAAGGGTTTGCAGAGGACTTGACGGAGGGGAAGTTCTCCTTCATCGTCGTCCACTCTGTGAGGGCGGATACGACCAACCGCGTCATTTTGAGTACGTCTTGTTCCTCCTCCTCCTCCTCCCCCGCTCCCTGCTCCGGGCACATCCCAACCCCCACACAAGCGCTAACCCCCCTCTTTCCAGACGTGCTTCAAAAACGGCCCACCACGCCCTCAACAAAGAAGTACGCGATAGAATACATGCGCGACCACACGCATTCGTTCGAGTACGCTGTCGAGGTCCTGCGGAGCCTTGATGCCCAGGCGAGGAGGGAGATCGAACGCCTAGGGGGCAATAAGGAGCTGGAGGGGATTTTGGATATGTTGAAGGTTTAGTTTGCCCCTGCAGACCGGGCGTGTGTCTTTTTTTATTGGGTTTGTGTGTAAGAATTAGTTCAACTGAGATAAATGTATTATTTGACTGAGATGATTGGCTGCTGGGATCCAGAATTAGATTCGAGCAAGTAGACTGGTCTTACGTCAGAGGAGCCCGGGGGGGGGGGAGGGAATTGGAAGCAGGAGGAAGGAATAGTGGGTTAATGGGTTGAGGGCAGAATCGGCCGATCCTCTGCAAGATCTAGACCTCTTGTCCGACAAGATTCGCAGTCGCAAGACAACACTCCCCTTCCCAGCCAAGGAACAATCAGCCCGTGTTGCCACTGAGGAAGTCCGCCCCCGAGATAGGGCTCGATCAGTCCAAGGATACTGTACGTGGGCAACCTCCAGACCAGAGAGGGAAGAGCGGTTCCGGAGGCGTGGCTCGATGGGAGGGTAAGTTGGACACCGGGTAGGGCTGGTATCATGTGCTTGTAGGTGTTCTTCTGCTCTCCGGTTGCCCGGGACTCCGGAAGTCCCAGATATCAGAGGGAAGCGAATGGGTGTTCGGAATCCACAGCGTGTTCAGATGGGATGGACGTTCGGATTGGCCCTTCCAAGCTGGAATACTCCAATTCTTGATGGAGTTCGACTCGACTCTACTCGGGACGGAGCATGAAACGCTTTCCCACTGCTCTTCTCGTTGGAGGAGATCATCGGTCATCGGCTTGTCGGATGAAGGACCGACAGCAGGGACGTCGTCTTCCCTTTCGTAGTGTTTACCTCTCAAGCTGGATCATTCTGTATTCCTTGAGTAGTTTGTACATGATCGGTGAGATATGGTATGGTTCATACCTCATGCTGATAGAATCTTCTGATCCTGGGAACGCAGCGGGCTGGAATGATCGTTGGTCCAGTCTCGTAGCTCCCCAGTCGAGACAAGTTGCATGTGTCCAAAGCCTCGTCAACATGACCAATAAGTACCAGATTTGTGTTCTCCCAACACCCGGAACACGTCGGCGATCGGCCCGGGCTGCGGGTTGCTCATTCGCCGCAACTCCGAACCGGCATCAAGGACGTTGGGGCGATCCATGTCCTCCTTCTCAATCCAATGTCACACAACGTCCAACGATCGCCGTTCTATGTCACACGTGAACAGGCAACATGAACGGCCAAATTGGCACCCATGTTGTCCGGTTCCACGCAGGGATAAACAACATCAAGTCGAACGGAAAAAGGTTCGGAATATTCCGCGCAAGTGTGAAGAGTCAACAAAGGGCCTTTGGCGCGTCATCTATTTCTGCACCTAACGACCACATGCAATTCCTCTTTACCGCATCCTTATTTCCTTACTGACCAACATCTTCTGCGGCTCGAATCATTACCACATGCAAGATGAAGAAATAAGATGAAGAACACGTGGTGGTGAGGACTGAACACACGGCTCAGCCTGCCAAGCTGGTGTCTCTCCCCGCAGACGATGACGGAATGTGGACTACAACGACCTCAGGTTCCGAACAATGCCAAAAATAGCAAGCTGGACCACACGTACGTCTGTCAAGCGCCCGCCGGCCCTTCACTGACCATCCAATTAGCTCCTGGTAATGCACGCGTTCCTTAATCGGAACATTCCGATAGGCGGAAGTTGGCTCTCTTTGGACCCTTCAGAGTGCCTCAGTTCGAGGAACAGCCCTGTCAAAATCCTCCCATGCATCCTGGACACCATGTGCATCTCTGGTGCTCGTCAGTACTTCGCACTTGAACATCAGCAGCAGGAGGTGGAGTTGCGCTCGGACGACCACGTCGACGATTTATACTCCTTCGATCTCGTCAGTGTGTTCACGAACGTGCGCTACGTTATGGAAGGAACGATGAAGCCTAAAACACAAACGGAAAGCACCTAGATACTCTTATAAGTTGGGAAAGGAATCGTTATTTTTCAACGCTGTTCATTGCATTGGTACTCGCGACAAACAGCTCGAGATGTTCGTCCTCGCTTCCGCTGCAGCTTCGAGCCTTCTGCTCGCAATTTCTGTCTCTGCTGCCCCCAAGTCGCTTGTTGCTCCTCAAGGCGCCGAGGTACTCACTGTCGCTGTCTTTGGTGACTATGGCTGGACCGGTTGGATCCCCGCTCCGGATCACTTCTGTCTCGAGGTGATGGCCGACCTCAAGGCTGCGGGCATCACCGTCCCGAATGAGCTCGTCAACGACTGTGACCCCGGCGACAAGGCGTACATCAACAACGCTACCGCTCTCCAGAGTGAGTGCTGTATTTAGCACCTTTTCCGAGACGCTCATAATGCATACAGCCGATACTGCCAACTACATCGGCCAAGTCTGCACCATGAAGAACTGCAGTGCTATCGTGAGTGGCTTGTACACAGCTACTCTGATCTCTCTAAGTTGAAGCGTAGATCTCGGTCGGCGATAACTTCTATGACAGCGGTGTTGATTTCACCACCGGAGGCATCCTGCGCTTCGAAGAGGCGTGGGTGAACATGTATGCCCAAGGCGTCTTCCGCGACATGCCCTGGTACCAGTGTCTCGGCAACCACGATGTCGTCAAGGGCCAGGCTGGTGTAGACTTTGAGACCAAGATCCTGCCCTACTACGACGATAGGTGGAACTTTGTATGTTCCTATTCATCATATCCACAGGCGTAGTTGGCTGATGTGGGGGGATAAGGGTACTTCCGGTCTTCCCTACTGGACTTATCACCTCGTTGGCTCTAACTGGACAGCGACTTTCGTCGTCGTCGACTCGGACTGCTTCCTTTCTTCCTACCAGAAGGTGAGGATTTTCTTACAACCCTGAAGCAAGCCTTATCAGAGATCCGAATAGAACACCTCCGTCTACTATAACGAGTACACGATCGGCTGCCACAAGAACACATCTGTCCAGGTTGACTTCTTGAACCAGACGTTCTCGAACTCGAAGGCGGACTGGAAGTTCTTGCAGCTGCACCACCCGTACATGTCTTCCGCAACCAACCAGACCGATCTCGCACCCCTCATCCAAATCGTCGAGGCTCACAAGGGCATCGTCCTGAACGGACACGACCACTGTCTTGGTCACTACTATAACAACAACACCAACTTCATCCTCAGCGGTGCGGCTGGGTATCCTCAGGGTGGCGACTGCAACAACGGTACTCTCGTCAATTTTTTGCACCTGAAGACATGTTTAATGTTCTGTGCAGGTATTCCTCTTGGTCCCTTCACCAAGTTCCTGGCCGCGAACAACAACACTGGTGCGTCTCGGTGTTCCCCAGTCTATTATTTCATTAATCGCTTCATGACAGGTGCCAATGGCCTGGTCACCATGGACATCAGCTCCACCTCGGTCAATGTTGAATACTACGTCCGCGATATGCTGTTCATCAACGGTGACCTCTACCCGGTCGCGCACGATCTCATGCCATCCTACAAGTTCCAGATCACCCAAAAGTCTATTTAGAAGTGCTATCTAGACGACTTAAGATTGGGGTTGAAGGGTACAAAGGCACAACACATTAGTCTTCTACTATAATTGGTAATCCGAATCTTGCTTGAGAGAACATTCATATCCATATCTGGTGTTCCCACGATGGGGATAATTGTTGATCAGGTCACAATCAGTGCACCGCTAGTGCTTACGGCATCCAGACCCCTCGTCGTCGATGGAATATCTCCATACCCAGCAAAGGCGTGGTCTTACGGCAATTGCTGATGTCGAACATGAGTGGTTTCGGCCATTCGTCTTGTTTCACAGGGCGATGGTTGAGAGTATGTAACACTGATTGGTCGTCGACCAAGCTATGACAGAGCTTGATGTTTTCGAGCCGGGGTGCGATGACGCTCCTGCCGATGCCCGAATAGGTTGCCCTTCGTGTGAGAATATCGGTGCAGAGCGTGGGAGTGCCGCAGCTCTGCAACGCGAGCATCTTCAGGACGGGCGTGTGAACCAAGTACTGCCCGATCACATCGTCAGAGAAGACCCCTCGCAAGCCTAGCTTTTCTACAGCAGCCATCCAGGCGTATGTCGGGGGTTTCCCCTGGAAGTTGTCGGTGTCAATATTGAGGGGATTGGACAGACAAAGCTGAGTTAACACTGGCGTTTCGATCCCGTCCTCCAATAGGTGCATCAAGAATGACAGTTCCATATTTAAATGTTCCAGCTGCGGGAGGATGAGAGCCGTAGGTCTTGACTTTTTCTCCTGTGTTGAGGGAAGAGGTGGCCAGTCTTCATTGCGATCGACGGTGAGAGTACGCAGGGCGAGACAGCGTTGCAGGAGTAGGTGATGTTCGCATTTCGTTCGAAAACATACATTGTACAGGCTCAGACTCGTCAAGCAAGTGAAGTCGAACATCCGCTCAGTGCAGTGAAACAGCTCTTCATCTTCGGGCACGACTTGATCTGCGGCATTTCGTAACCTGTCACTTCGTGCAGCAAAGAACATCCCAATCTCTCCGGGGTCAACTGCCCAGCGGTGTGGATGGATATCGACGTCGAGCTCGGAGATGCGGGCAGCATGAGGAAATAATTGACGAGTCAGGTACCACAAAGGGATACCGTCACACTTGTGTAATTTTATCCTCACACTCATTTCACGTGCGCTGGAGCGGCTGAGTGACTGATTAAACCGGCGGAGGGCACATTTCTGTCGGGTTGTAAAGTCGTCCCAGGTACTTCGGATGTCGCATTCCGGGTCTCCCCCGGGCCCACTCGGGCGAATTGGTAACCCAGGACCATCCAGATTCTCGGTTTCTTCCCTTCTATCATTCGCCACGACCAGCCTCGGTCGTTCTGCGGCCGTAGCAGCGTAGTCAGGAAGTGTGACCAGTGTGTGTGTGAGTCTGAGCCGGAGACCTGCCACAGGATATGAGAGTGCTCGACCAAATGTGACAAGCGTCCACAGCACGCTCATGCCCTCTACTCCCTGTCTCCATCCACGAGAAACGGAGCGAAGCGTGGAGACAGCGTGCTCGCGGTAATCTTCGGGGAGGGTGTCATAAACGGCGATGACGATAAGACGCCAAATCTCGTTAGGCAGACCGGGGATAAGACAGACATCTTCTCGCTTGTTTTCGCAGAGTTGAAGAGTCTGAGAGTAGTGGGTTGACATTTGTGCGGAGGAGGGTTGCGTTTGCCGAGAGAGATGAAGACCAGTACGTGTCGCTCATAGGCCGTGCAAAGGAGGTTTTCAATGGGCTTCCCGAGGCACCATTTTTCAAGTCCCAGCGATTCGGGGCGTGCAGCCTGCCTGCCGACGACAGCAAGCTTGGGGTGGGAAGGGAGAAGGAGAGAGAGGAAGAGTTGTGCCCTGCAAACGGGTCGCTATATTCGCTCGTATCCCTGCAGTTCGGGGACAGAATCTCCATTCGTAGGGACTGAGGAAGCACGCAGGATCGGAAACCGCCTCCATCGGGAACATCAATAACCACCGCCACGCGGGATCCTGCCTTGATGCTTACCCCGTGGCGGGGAACTGCCGGCCATCCGGTGCCTTTTCAATCGATATCCCTTGTCGGATGGTCTACCGGGCATCAATAATAGGCGCTCACGACAATTGTCATATGGCAAGTCGGCACCCTACACCCTGCAGGGTACAATAATGCGCCTTAATAGCTCATGATCTTGCTTTCGGGTGGCATCTCCGAGGACAGAACCCATATAAACTCGAAACAGAACACTTTGAGGGGCCGGTGTTCTGCTCAAAATCCATCGTAATTGGAATGGGAAAACTCCGCATACATTCCTGATTAGGTTAGGGATAAAAAGAAATGGGTTTCACATTAGAGATCCACTGAGCGAGAACAAAGGCGAAAAAATGTAACTTGCCTCATGCATCTTCATTACCTTCCTTGAGGCTCTCGTGTTCTCCGTAAAATCCCTGTTCTCTCAGGTTATGCTTGTCTCCCGCATTCATTGGCTAGCTGACCTTGCTAGGAGCCCTGGATGTACAAGGTACAGTGATATTCTTGTGGCCGCATGACCACACGGCTTCTTTCAAGCAAAAATAGGAACTGTACAGCCACGCCGGTGATGCTTAGGGCCGGTACATTCCCAAATCATTTCACTTTACCCACGCCTTTGGATCCCATGAACCTCGTAATAGAAACAGCCAGATTTCAAACTACGGAACAAGGGGAGGGAATTTCTGAGCGATTCCTCCAGGTCTAGGCTAGAACGGCGAAGAGTCCTTCTCTTCGCTAGTAGGCTTCGCTACTTGATCGCTCGGCAGCCCTTTAGAAGCGTCGGGCGGATTCACGAAACCATGCATATTGCCACTAATGCCGTTGTTCCGACACCATGATCGAGTGAATTCCTGAAAATGCAGGACTTGGTGCGAGGCAACCCCTCTCCAGTACAACCGAAATGCGACCTTCCTCTTGTCAACATTCATCCCATCCAAGCACAACTGGCAAATGCACTGGCGGCACAAAGTATTGCACACCGAGTCCCCTATCCGTGCCGTATCCATGTACATAGCTTTATGTCACCACTGTATCTAAAGAAATAACAAAGATTGTTTCTACATCTTCAACATGTGGAACACATCCGTGATTTCCATCTATTTCATGCCATTCTGAGGCATTGACACACTATATGTAATAAAGAAACGTCCTGTCAACAAGCTTTGATGTGTTGCTCCCCTACCGGCCAACGGCCGGGTAGACCTTGCAATCGTTCCAGCCATTCCTCCTTGATGCTCGGATCCACTTCGTACGGTAGTAGATACGGGTGGTGGAAGTGCAGCATGAGATCGCCTCTGGCGTGCTTGAACGGCTCTGGATCGTCGCGCACACGAGCAGTAACAGCGTTGATGACGGAGTCGAGTGCTTCGACCATTATAATGTGCTTGCAGTCTTCTGTTCCCGGTTCTGTCGGGATCGGCGTGTCCTCAATGGCATCGACATTGGCGTCGGGACGTGTGTTGAAGAGCTTTGTCATCAACAGCTCACGCCTCGGGAGGATACCCATGAGGTATGCAAGGGCCATGATATTGGCCGCCACACTGGACCCGAGGAACGTCTCCTGGTAACGACGGTCCGTACAGCTCGACATACGGAGGTGGGATAGTTCGGGAAATTGATGTTCTACAAAAGCAGTGCGGAGCCAATCTGTCAAGCCCTTCTCCACCAAGTGTAGCTTCGTGAGGTGGGTGGCGAATGAGGTTGTTTGTGGGAGGAACACGTGCCCGCATATTGTAAGCTCTTGTAGTCGCGAGAAGGAGGGTGTCGACTCATCGTTGGCGAATAGGATCCGGGATGCGAAGTGCCCATAAATGTCAGGAACGATGAGCGCTAATGTTTCGAGTGAGCCCTCTAGAGCTCAGAGCAGTGCAGGGAGACTTCGTTCGGCAGCGGTCATGTCCCTCCGTGCTTCTTCGTACAAGTGGGTCCGCAGTGATTTTTCCGGGGCCCCGATACGAACAAACAGATGGCGCACGCGAAAGCGCTTGAGGCTTTGTTCGCCTTTCTGACTCGAGGTGACCAAGTCTTCAAAGAGAGAGATCTGCTGTGAGTTGCTCAGGCTGACACTTTGATATCGCAAGTCGGCCGATGCTGCTCTGAAGTATCGGGACACGGCACTCAGTGCGCAGCCAGTAGAGCCTCCGTCCAGGCAGGAAATGGTGAAGATCATTCGATGTAGTTCGACAGGAAGGCATTCCATGTTTTCGTCTCTTGAGTTGTCGAGCAATTGGTTTGTCAACCCGCCCATTTATACGACCTCTTGTCGAGCTCCCGGGAGGGGCGGGAGGTTTCAACAATATACTGCGGACCATCGGTAGGCAATAGCGGACCGGGGTGCGTCCATGCTCAACGTTAGGACCTTGTATTCCACGGGAAAATTGCACCGTGTCCATCAGTGCGGCCCAGCTTCCATCTATGTTGAAGCACGATGCTGGCCAGTGGTACAAGACGGCATCACTGATTCCTGCGGCTGCTATTATTAGTGACAAGAGTAAAGACCCGAGTGATACGGCATCTAGAGACTGCTGGTGAAGCGACCAGTCAGAGATAAAGCACAAGGCTGTGTCTTTGTTCCGTTCGGAGCCTTGGTCGTGGCCTGGACTTTATCCAAACAAGGTTCAGGTCCCGCCAAGCACCTCCACAAAGCGGAAGGTACTCACCCGCGTTCACACGCGACAGTATAGCAAGGCCATCGGGATTATCGATCCGTTACATTAGCAAACTACACTCTAACACGTTCAGCCTATGTATCATCATACATTATCTATGACTGACCTGGGTAACCTTACAATACAATGATAAAATCCCAAGTCAAGGAACCAAATCAACTATGTACACCATCCGTGAAGAGCACGCCGATCATGGACCCATCGCCACGAATACATTGAAGTTAAACGTGGGCGGGTTAGGATTGAAGAAATACCCGGTGGGGTAAACATCAACCACGACACGATTTGAGCGCATCAACGTTGCGCGCATGCAGTTTCCTGGTTGTAGTGCGAGCTTGAGATGTGAAACACCAGCCCGAATATTGAAGGTTTGCGCATTCGGGCCGGATGCGGGAGGGTTGGGCTTGCTTCCCCGATTTGGCGTGGAAAGGACCACTTGGGCGGGAGATGTGGCAAAGACGGTAACATAGAAGTTGTCGTCCGTCTACATCAGACAAGTAAATCCGAATCCAGAACGAACCGAGCCAGACGCACATTCTGCCAATTATTCGGTCTGCCAACGCCATCGTTCTGAGCATTCGCTGCCTTCGGGTGTGGCCGTGCATAGATGTACACTTGGTCTTGGGTTATCGACGGGTACCTTCCAGTCTTGAATGCCGTGGCGTAATAGTTTGTCATGGTCAGCCAAGGGGTATGGTCATACCCGTCGACCCAGGCATTGGCCATTGACTCATCGCCCTTGATCGGTCCGATATAATGCGATTCACCGTAATCTTGCTTGGTCATCAATCTGACGTGTGGGTTGAATGTGGACACGCACCATTCCAAGTGATGATCTGCGCAATGGCGACAGAATTCCTATTTGAGATCAGTGTTTCCCATCTCGTTGCATATAAGCTGTCGTCGCTCCGATAAATCCAGTTCTTGTTGTACGTATTCGGGCCGTAGTGCGTGAAGAAGTTCGGAGACACCGGTGCCATGTATGCCTTAGCTCCCAATCCGCGGATCCATTGCGAGTCGCTGTCGAACGTTAGGTCGGTGGATCCCATCGGCCAGGCACCGTTCCACTATGCAGGTATCAAGTTCTGATCATATGCTAGAAAACATGATACTAACGTTCAGGGCTCCGCTCAGTACTGGGTACTGCCCAAAGGTGCTTGGATCCACAAACCATGCGGGGAAGAACGCAACCGGAGAGCCAATTAAATTCAGCACCATCTTCCAACCCGCCTCGATGCTTCCTTGTCCGAACGTGCTATATTCTCCTGAGAACGTGCCCAATAACGTCTTCCCTCCATATGTGAGCTGCGCAGGGTGGTTGACAAATTGCTTCACTTGGTTGGCCAAGTTCTGGGCGTCCCCTTGCGAGCCGCCGGATAGGGAGGTCATGTCAGCTGACAGGAATAGCTTGAACCCAGAGTGGGAGAGAGCAGCTTGATAGACGTTGGAGAGCTGTCCAGGCTCCCATCCTGGCGAGCCGTAATTTAGAGCAAAAGCGTCACTGGGAAAAAAAGTCGAGGTCGAACGGTCAATCGATGATGCAGTATGTACGTATATCGAAACTCACATGCCAGCTTTCTGTGCCAGAGCGATGTCGTTAGACCAGTCGGAGACACTGTAGGGCTGAGTATTCCCGACAATAACGTGTGCGACTACAAGCTTTGGAAGTGCTTGCCAGTCGAGTGCTGCATCAGCATGTGACGTTGCTGCGTTTGAGCTTGAAGATAATGGAGTTGATGCAGAGATCGTCGTGGAGCTTGATGAAACAGTTGAAGATACAGTTGATGCCGTGAATGAGTCAGGTGAAGAAGGATGCAGTGAAGTGGAGTGTGAGGTTGCAAGAGAAGTGGACAAAGCAAAGGTAAACTTTGAAGATTCGGTCGGTTCATGAGTTGTCGTACGAAAGAGTACAGAGGTCGGTGCCGTGGTAGAGACAGTAGACTGCGGCAGGCCTAGGGTGAAGGGGAGAGAGCCGAGGAGCGCAATAAGGAGTGACATTCGGCTGTTCATGGCGGCCGCTAGCGACCAGCACACAGGATTAGGGGAAACGGTACAGAAAAGGGAGTAGAGGATGATGATGAAGGGATGGCAAAGAAGGACCAGCCAGCGGCGCTAAAAGGGGTTCCAGCTGGTGGTTCAGGTACCTGACCTGAGCGCCCAGCTTGGGTAGTCTGTTTACCTTTTAGGTAATCAGAGGCGCTGCCACACCAGACCATGAGTGACTTGAGAGCATGCAGCCTATGAAATAATATGAACGTCGTGTGAGGATGAGGTGGCCTGTCCCTCGACTTGTGTCACATTTGAGAGCATCGGTCCCTCGCGTTCATGCAGCTGATAGTTTGACACCAAGCTCCTCTTGTGTAGTTGTTCATCCCAATCAAGTCTCCTCACAAACACAAGTAGTGGTGTAGCCTGTAGCCATGGCCATGTACTAAGAGTAAGCAGTTCAACTCATCGTCGAGGCTCATACAAGCAGAGGCGCAGACAGGGTCGCGTCGCGTCGAGCGGTCACGCGTTTGCTTTCTATTCTGTCACGTGAATAACAATCACGTTGCCTGTTTCATTCCCTGCATGACATCACGCGGGTTGTGTTTAGGGACGCGTAGACCGTGGTTTCACACGCGTCGGTTAGTACCCAGTCAGTACTACTGCAGTTGATGGGTGTGCGCCCGATAGTTGTGTGCAGGGATGACATCCTTATGGAGTTGTGCGCTGAAGAACAATAGCATCATCATTTTTTCTAAATACAGTACTAGGATATGTGTTATATATACATAACAGAACTAGGGCGACAACGAGGATGGTGGTGTGGAGGGCATCAGAGCATAGGAAGGTAATACAAATCCGGGAGTTATAGGGATACATTACGCGCCAATCTTGCGGCATAGAGAAATGCCTATACCACCGCGTTTCTGGCAACTTGTTTCATCGCAATTTGCGACCTGGGGACGTTGGAAAATGACAACACTATTTCTAAAAAGCGCGGGCCGTATGAACGGTGCCCTTCACGCCCTTCAGTGTGCTGGATTGGATAACAGAGGTGAACGGCTGGGGCTGCGTGGGCTTGCCCGAGGAATGCACTGAGGTGGCCAGCGGCACGTTGCCTACCGTACGGATGCGTGTCGTGGACGAGGACTTGGATGGCACGATATGCCGGTCGAGCGCCCTACGGGCGGCCGCGCTCGGTGCCAACAGGGTCGCAATGACGGAGTCCGTAGATTTGGATGAGTGGGCAGTGCTCTTCAAAGTGCTGTTCGACGCGGAAACGAAAGGCGGGGGCTGCAGCGGCGTGAAAGTTGCCGGTCCGGCGGTAGCGGTGGTCGTGTGCGTCTGAGTAACGGATGTCTTGTGCGTGCTTGTTACAGCTGTTTTCGGAAAGGTCGGCGGGGCAAGGTGAGGGCCAATGTCGAAAGGATTGATAGGAGTGAAAGGCTGCGGGGTGGCGGAAGAGGGATGTGCAACCTGAGGAAGGCCTGAGATGAAGGGAAGCAGGCTAAGAAGCACAAAGAGGAAAGAGAGTTGGCTGTTCATAGTGGCAGAGGCAGTCGAGATGCAGTTGCGCTATGAAACAGACGAGGCGAGGGATAGGATGCTGAAGACCCAGTGTTGTGTTGCAAGAATGACGAGTTGAAATAGGTTTGCGCCTGTGCCGCAAAGCTGCTCCAGCAACAACAAACATCTCGTACATAATCCAGCTACCTTCTTAGGTAAACGAAGCCAGAGGTGTGCCAAAGCATGAACCCTCAAGAGAAGCCACAGAAGCGGGTTTGGACGAGTGGAGTTATCATGACGTGAAGATGGCTCGTCCATGGATCATGTCCGTTCTGCGACCTGTCCTTGTGCATTTGCTTTTGTTCAACAAACTGAGAGCACGTTGACAGAAGAAGACCAAAGCTAAGCCTCTGACTGACATGTTCGGCGAGAGGAATGGCTTTTATAAACTGTTTCCGTCTGCTTCCGGCCAATGGATGACTTCTTACGAAATAGCGTCTGATGTGGACATTAAAATCATGTCAAGCTCATGAATGCAGCTTTCCACTGGTATGTTCTCGGTCGGGCGCACTGCGTCTTCAACGCCATCTCCAAAATTTGGGTTCTTATCCGGTGTTTCTTTCTCGGAGCTCCGCTCATCCTCCGCGGTTCCCGTAGTGACAGGCACCATCGATTGCGCTTTTGCTCTCGGGACTCCATCGAGTACGTGCTTGAAAATGTTGCGAATATGTGAATTCATCCCACTGGCGTATTTTATGTATCTAGATGTATGGGCAAGTACTCCGTGGATTCTGGATTCTTATCCCGTTTTGTGCTCCATCGATTCAAAGGAAGCAGGTGAAGCAATTCTCGTCGGTGCCGCCTGCTATCCATGAAGTGTGATTGGCTGTAAGTGTTCCAATCTAGTGGATTTGCTGATCAAAGAGGCCCTGGTGCATATCTGGCCGCGTTTCCCTCGTTTATACTCGTTTCAAGTGTGCTCTGCTGGACGCCATCCCTCTTGTCGTGAACAACCATCATGGTACCACAACTTCCAGTCGAGCTCCATCGCAGAATATACGCCATGGCCTGCACCGACGATGGGACGACAGCCTGCGCTCTAAGCCTGGTATCCCACGCCGTTCGTGAGGTTGTAGAAGAATTTCGCTGGTTCTCGCTGGCCGTGGCGGGCGAACGGCAGGTGCAAACCCTTCTAGAGACGCTCCAGGATGTGCCCAAAGATAGGCTCAAGGTAGCCCATCTGTTCGTCTCGGATCTCAGACGACCTCTTAGCTACAGACGGCGCGAAAAGAGAATGTTGTCCCTGTTGGAACGAGAAGAATTGAGCGAGGAAGACGAGACCTTCCTCCGCACTACCATGGGATCGCTGGACTTCTCCATCGGGAGCAAAATTGTCATCCACCTCGGCTCCATCGAGTGCATTGAGCCGCCGAGTCGTACTGCTAGTCAGTACATCATGTGGCTGCTTCGTCTCCTGGCGCCGGACCTTATTACCTTGTCTCTCGTTGTCTTCAGCGATCAAGACGATGCGTTTGAGTCGACCCCCCTCAGTGTGTCCGCCCTACACTTTCCGGTCCTCAAGGAATTAACCCTTCGAGGCTCACATCCTTTCCCCCTCTCGTCTTTTGCGCCCTCACTCCAGCGCCTTCATCTGGCCGACGAATGTCTCATTTCCGGTCTGGAACAGCGTCTAGCTCTAAACCATCCAGAACTCACCCATCTCCGAATTTCAAGGTTCCTCAAGGTTTGAGATCACTTTCAGACCATCAAACGCTTGCTCGTGGCCATGGGCCTTCGGCCCCCGACATCCATGGAGGAAGAGGCCATTAGGAATAATGAGATGGATCTCTTTCCGCATGGCGTGGAGCGCTTTTGTTTAGTCGAACCAGGACCGACGAACTTCACATCAAGGCGAAACAAAGGCAGCTCGCGCGGGCGGGTTAGATCACCTGGATTTGTTCCTCGAAGCTACCTGAACATGGTTATGGAATTGGAAGACGTTGCCGACGAGCTACCTAACTTCGCCCTTCTTCCGAAGCACTCTGGCCATAACAAGCAAATCGAGGCAGAGAAATCGAGACAGCAGTGGATGGAGCGCATTGAAGGAGGACAAGGCTGTTGGGTGACTCCGGCGGAATTCATCGCGGGGCTCTGAGAGGCAATTGATATAACTCAATCTTTTCCATCTGCACCTCATGACTTGCTTTCTGGCAAAATACGTTGCTCATCTGGAAAAGGGGAGCTGAGTGGTGAGTGCCTTCACGTCCTATTTCTTCTCTTGATAGTTGCATTGCTGTCCGTCTTCACTGAGGGAATGAATATGAGCCGTCTTCCCAATCAAAGGAAAAGAGGTCGCTGCCCCCAATAACTAGAATCATCGTAGTGGATCTTTTTCTTTGCTTGAACTCAGATCACCTGTTATCGGTGCGAACCAAATTCGCATCAATGATGCCCTATCCTACGTAATCAGCAATGAGGACTTCCGTCTCTGTTCCACGTTGCTCGGCCTTTCCACGACACCCGAACTACCCGTCGAACTTCATCCAAGATCTAGCACCGAGACGGTTTCATTATTTCCATAATACACCCATACACCCGCTGATGGCGTATGTGGTTGAGTTGGATGGGATATACATGACGATTATCTCCTTCCTAAGATCCAGACACACTGCCGCTGTGATGGACGGCCAAATGTACTGGCAGCTGTTGATATCTATACTGTAAATCTAAATATGCACTTCGCTACCCTGAAATGTGATAGCACTGTACTGTTTGCTGGCCTGATTATAAAGAGAAGTGAAATGCGAACATCCATTGTAATGCTAAACGGAGGAGAGACTCGGGCCAGTGCTGATGGGGCTGAAGGGTCGGCCCGTACCACAGTTCTTCTCATCAACCACCATCCACTCTACCACGGACTCCTGTTTTCCTCCCCATATTCTGTCGCAGTCGGCTCACTCTTTCATGCCGGCTCACTTTGGCGTCCACCGGATACTTCAAATCAAATGCAAGTCGCGTCTCTTTTCTCTCCGATGATGTACACACTAGTAAAAGGGTCGACCATCCCTGTTCATCCACCACCAATCCCAAAGGTCGCGCGTCCATTCCTCGCCTCCTCCTGCAAGCTTCAAAGGACGGAGGCGTAAGGCGGGACGCACAGTTTCCGTCATTTCTATGAGCTCACTCCCGCTCCTCGCGAAGCAGGGATTGGACAAGTGGAAAGGACGAGCGCTCGGTGTTAGACACCCCCGTCCAGAGGTTGAGGATGGGGGAGTAAAGGTCGAGCGGATAAAGAGCACGAAGGCTTTCAGGTTTCTCCCGCGGGAGAGAAACGAGCCTCGCCCATCAACATCCAAGCCCTTCTCCTGCACATCATCGGATGGCATCACCACGGGAGAGGGGTGGTCTGGAGTGGTTTACCATACCTGCTTTCGCCTGCCTACGGATGGGCGAATGGCAGATATGGGCAGATGGGAAAGCAATGTAAGCAGGCTATATGCGCTTCCTCTGTAGTGTCATGAGGAAGGGTGTGGTTGTCTGCGGATAACGCGCAGCTCTATGGAGCTTGTGCGAGAAGCTGCCTTAGGAAAGGGGTGGAAAAGGGGGTGACAAGAGATCAACTTTTTCGCGTCGTCTGACGCGCTGAGGCTTGCTTTCTCTTCAATTATGTCTGCTTGAACGTTTGCATTAACCGTGTTGTCTATGTAGTTCCTGCTACCGAGTAGCGCACCACCATGCTCCCGACCTATGTGCTCCACCTCGTCCTATGGCAGGTTGTCCCATCTCTCCTCACCGGTCTCATTCTCCGCACCCTCCACTACGTCCTCGGCCCCCCACCTGCTCGATCGCGCGTCGCAGCCCGCCAGTATCAGCTCGTGTATACCCTCATTATGATCGGCTTCCTGGGGTACACGTTCATCCAAGCAGCTAACAATGTGCCGAAGAACTGGTTTCAGCTGTGCGGAGCGGATGTGGATATCGAAAGAGAAGGGTTGAACAAGGCGTTTCGGAGATTGTGAGTATTTGCACGATAACCAGTCAAAGATCCACGCTTATCCAACATAGCGCTGTAAAATTTCATCCCGATCGCGCTGGAAAGGACGGCGAGGAGCTCTTTGTACGTGTACGAGCGGGGTATGAAGCTCTGCAAGTGCCGGCGAAGCGGTTCGCGTACGAGAAGTACGTCGCCTGCATCCATCTTTTCATGATACCTAAATGAGAAATCAGATTCGGCGATGATATGATTTCTTGGGCGACAGAGGATCGGTTTGAGACGCTTGTTATCGGCCTGAAGCGGAGTGTTGGATTCTATATTGTGGGTAGTCTGCTGATGGGAGTGATGAAGATCAACAGCGGTGGTAAGGATGTGATGTTAATCGTGTGTACCGTTTCCCGCCGTTGTCCTGTCTTTGTTCATCGTAGAATCAGTGGAGGACGTTCATCCTCGTATTCTGCGCCGTGGTTGAATTTTTCATCGTCCTACATCCTACACCACGTGCCTTCAGATTTATCTTCTCAAACGTTCTCCCTTTCCAGTATGTCGATTGGCTACACCAAGTCAGCATGAGCATCTCAGCCGGGCTGGGGCACCTCGCTCCTATTTGGAAACCAAGGGACATAGATCAAAACGCGCTTCAGCAGGATGCTCTGCGCCTGATCAGTACGATGGATACCGATGGCACGTTCTCCCACCTGCTCCTGTGAATTTGTCACTGACGTACCGTACAGTGATCGAGATGATCCACACTGATCTCAATCAGCTACAAATCGGTTGGTCAATTCTTGAGGCGGGTAATGAGACGGAGCATAGACACGGGAAATACGATCCGGCCATGCTCGCCAATCTCGAAACCCACATGATCATGACCGTGCTCGAGAACCGGCTGCGCTCGCATCCGGAGATCAAGCAGCTCTGGGATGCTCTCGTTGTGCGTCTGAGCGAGGAGCCGAACAAGATAATCCTGAACGGCGGACCATCTATGCCCACCACACCGATGCCTCTTCAGCCGGCCGATATTCCTCTTCCCGAGAGTGCCGATGTCAGCATGATTAGTGCGATCAGCATGGACGTGGCCCATAGCCCGCTGCCGCCTAGTAGTCCACTACGATACACTACCCCTCCTCCTGGCAGCCCGATGCCAGGCATGTCCAGGACGATGTCGAGCAGCCATCTGCCGAGTCCGGAACCGGAAGGCGACGTCGGCCCTTGATGCATCCCCAATTATCGCTCTTTTTTTGGGGGGGGAGGGTTGAGCGAGGACGCACTTGTATACTGTTGTTCGACGTAGTCGCATGTGATGTATCATACCGGGGATAGATCGAGAACGGGTTGAATCATCCATTATCACCCCTGAGTAAATCAGTATGCTTGAGATCACTCAGCGTGACAAGCAGCACAGCAAACTCGCATGCGAGCTGTGACTACAGGCGCACTGAGCTGACCGGGGCGACATGCCAGTCACCAAGGAATGATGAGCAAGACAATGAGGCTAAACCAGCTTGTAGGAACGATACGAGCTCCAGTGTTGGGCAGGTAGGGTTGTCCACAGTGTTATGCTGACCGACAGAAGCTCAATCATCATCAGCGAAGGAGGGTGAGAAGCCTGATAGTGAGCGAACCGTGGTGGATGAAAAACATTGGAGTGTTGGATTCTTGGGGAAAGGCTGTACACGAATATCCCCGATGCGTTCTAGGGGAGGATAGGTTGATTATTGAAAGGAAAGGGGGAAAGAACGAAGAAGGAACGCACCAGATCGCCTTAAAAGCACTGTTGTCAGAGGTGTCGTCGACAAAGACTCCCAGGCTTTCTATACGAAGGAAGCGTCTCCCAGCCATACAAAACGTTGATGTAGAGTAGACAGTATACCAGTAGGGAAGCAAACCGACACATCAGTTGCCTAGGATTGCATTCTACCAATGATGACGTGTACGTGTCATGGTGCAAGACGTTAGCGATACAAAGGACCGTAGCGAATCACTCGCCTTGCCCATATATTTGGGGTCGAGCAAAGGTCAGCAAGGCCGGAAGGTCGAGGAAGGATAATGCCCAGCCTCGTGGTGGAAGGTTGTCGGTACTAGCAAGAGTAGGGGGTCGCGAGGCCAGTCGTAATTAGAGACGAGGAGTTGTTGCGCACCCTGAGATAGAGATGAGGACAGCGACAGTGGTGTTCTTTTGGGGGGGCGGTTATTAGGGGGGGCAAGACTGATCGTGACTAGAGATGGGAGGTTCAGAACAGTTGTCGAATGCACCGTTTGTTTGACGAGCCATTGTGGAGGCCGGGAAGGTCGCGATCTTGCGGGGTGGAATGTGAAGGGGAGGGAGATCGTCGTCCATGCTGTGAACCGTTCCCAAGATATCCTATGCAAGAGTGATGAAAAGGGTGCAGTGGAGACGAGGAGATACGTACTCTTGTTGACAGAAGGTGAGAGTTGTATACCCCTGTGGATTGGTGTCAGAGTGATGCTGACGAGCGGTGAAGATGCTGCATACGTATGGAAAGGGTGTAATGTCTCTGAACCATTCTAGAGGAAGTGAGGGTGATTGGTAAACGTGCCGAGGCGGAAGGGGAACGGAGGAACGCAGGCTTTGACCTCGAATCGGGGAGGTCGTGTCGGAAGTGAGACTGACGAAGACGAAGAGATCTCAGCCAGGTTCATCAGAGATCACAGCGGGAAATAACGAGGCCGAGATCCCACCAATTGGCCGTTGTGGCATGTAAATCGATGATGTCGTGTGACAGGTGTTATGGTGGAGGACGTTGACGGGGCGGAGAACTGTAGGGGAATCATCGTCAGTTGTGATGAGGCATACAGGTGTAATTCACTCACAAGGGAGTCATTGGCAAGACAGACGAGCAGGTTCCAAAGACAACGAGTGCGGGAAGTCGATGCAGGATGAGATGCAACATTGTAGCAGAGGTGGTTGGGTGTGGAGGAGTTATTGGAAGCAGGATTTGGGGCGACCGACTATCAACAGTGAATGTTAGAGGGAGGAATTACAGGAGTTGTTGAATACGCCACTCGCTTAGCAGGTCGTAGCGGAGGTGGGCTTGCGGGGGGGATGGGAATGGAAGGGCGGGACGTAGAAGCCCATAGTGTGGGCCGTCCTCGATATATCCTGGGGGAGGGGGTGATCATGAAGGGTACGAAGGTGAGAGGGAGGTACGTACACTTGTCGAAGGAAGGAAGGTAGAGGTAGTGTACTCCTGTGGGTTGGTGTCAGAGTTGTGTCCAAACAGTGACGGCGTTGCATATAACGTAGGGGACGGATTTTCTCCAAGACGTTATAGATAAGTGGGCATAAGGGGAGAAGAAACCAAGGAAGGAAAAGAGGAAACACATTGGTTGATAGTCATATCTTGCGAATCGAGGATGAGGCGATGGGCAGTGTGTGTTGAGAAAGGTCATGGAGGGTTCCTGGAAGACAAAGGTCAATAACAATACAGTACGCTGGAGGAGAAGATACAAACGCACTGGTTAACTGCAGCCGCACATTCGAATCACAGATGTGCCCTGAAAAATGTGACGGAGGAGGACCTTGGCGACAAGGAAGACCAATCGAAACATGGTTAGTTGGAGTGGATGAAACAGGTGCTTAATCACTTGCCAAGAAGGGGAGTCATCGGCGTTGACAGCAAAGATGAAACATGGTACGGGGCGGCTGGGGGTGGGGGGAGTCAGCGCAGCGGGAGCTTCAAGAGTCGGCGCATGCTGAGAGTGGTCGCGTTCGGCGCTGAAAGACCAGTCGTCCTTGCAGGGAAAGCGGCTACGATGAGGCGTGGAAATGTGCACCTTGGTTGATAGTCCGGGACGGAGGCGGGGGTGGCAGGTGTGTGTGGGCAACCAGACGTCAGTGCACGCTGAGGGATATCGCCCAGCTGTCGTGTGGGGACCCACGGGGAAGATAAAGGAATAATCAGAAAAGGTCTCACGAACAAGGAGAAGGAAGATACGCACACTTGTTGGAAGAGTCGTGCACTACTGTGGATTCGATGTTGGAGTGACCCCTGAGAGGAGTAAACGCTGCATATGTACACAGAGGTAGAATGAACTCGCGGATCGTTCTGACAAATCAGGTTTGTTTGAAGGAGGTGCCAGAGGGAGGCGGAAAAGGGGGAGCGCACAAGTAGCCTTGATTGATTTCGACTCGAGAATGTAGTTCCGAAGGCGTTAGTGATGACGGTTGGGACGCATTTCTTTCATGTTCGGAAATCCTAAAAATAGGAGGCTAATGAGGGGCATGCCAGAAGGGGAAAGGAGATTGACGCAGCTCACTGGTGTATGGTTAACACATTCACATCATAGATGTGGTGTTGGACGTCCGAGGTGGAGGCCGTGAAAGAGACGGACGACCGCCGGCAAAATATGGTCATCTGGGACAAACAATAGACGTTGTTAGTAATCCACTAAGCAGAAGAAGGAAGCGTTACGTCATTTGCTCGACATGCTGTGAGGCGGTGAGGGAGATTGCGCGTTCTGGGGCCGGCGCGGGAAGACGAGGGAGATAGTAGTGCACGTTGCGGGGTGCTACAGAGACGTCCTGGGCGAGGGAGTGATCGTAAAGAGTGCAGAGGAGAGGAGGCGTCCATACACTTCGTGAAGGAAGGTGCCGGAGTCGTGTTATTGGCTCGTGTCAGAGTGATGCGGACGAGCAGTTAAGACGCTCCATACATACGTCCTTAGAGGGTGGGGGAGGAATGCCCTCGAACGATTCTAGAGAAAGCGAACTGAAAGTGGAGGGTGCCAAGTAGCGTAAGGGGAAATAAGAGACTCACACGTTGACCTCATTGATTTTGAACCGCGGACGTCGTGTCGGAGCTGTCGCTGATGAAGACGGGGAGGGATTGCATGCAAGGAAGCTTTGCTGGAATACTGTAGCAGAAATAGATTGATCAGACAATATCACGGAGAGGAAAGATGAATGCAAAGGCCGCACCAATGAACCGTATGGGTTAAGGAATTACTGATGGAGTGCGAGTCAGTCAAAGACAAAGAAGACTATGATCAATTGGAATGAACGAGAAAGGTTATTAATCACTCGCAAAGAAGGGGAAGGAGTCATTGGTGTTGCCAATCAAGACGAAACATTGTCGGGGGAGGGCAGGGAGGGCAGGGGGGAGAAGGGGTGGGAGGAGGGGCGGCAACCAGAGCCCCAACAGTCGACGCATGCTGAGAGCTGTTACTTTCGGCGCTAGACCATTTGCAGTTAGAAGGGAAGCAGTTACGAGGAGGCATGGAACATACCGCGTGATTGTTAATCCAGGCGGAGGCGAAGGGGCGGGGAGTGTGAGCGACAGGGGTTGTCCACGGTGAGGAATGCCAGTGTGCGGGAAGTGCGGGAAGTGGGGAAAGGGGAGGGGATGGGCAGCGGGGACGATCAGGATAGCTATGGCGAGAAAGGACAAGGTATGTGCATTTGTTGAAGGCAGGAGGGCAGAGTCAGGCACTCCTGGGCTTGGCCGTCAGCGTGACGCCGAGGTGAAGATATTGAATATGTGCATACCAAGAGGCGGAGTGTGTCCGAACCCTTCTTAAAACAATGGAAGTGATCGGAGAAGGTGCCAGAAGAAGGGGAAGGATTGGCGCACCGGCGGACCTTGATTGCACTCGACTCGAGGATGTAGTTTCCAAAGTGTCGGTGACGACGACAGAGAGGTATTCCGTTTCGATGTATGTCGCCACGGTATCCTAAAACAAAGGGATCGATCAAAGATCATACAACGTTCGAGGTGCTTATCGTGTTTGCCTTATCTCATTCGAATGGTGGATGTTGTGTAGGACATGGCGTGGAGGACGTGGGCCAGACGCAGGAACACTGGCGAACCCTGATCAGCAAGGACGATGATACAGATTGTTAATAACTCACAAAGAAGAGGGGGTTGTGAATGAGGCTGAAAATATAGATGAACTGATGTTGATGGATGGCAACGGTGGCCAAGAAGTCTGTACAACAGCGAAGACGGTCGACGCATCGGAGAATTGTCATCAAGCCGGCCGACCCTGGACACGTAGTCATCAGACCAGCATGAGTTACGAAGAGTAAATCAAACGCACCGCACAAGTAGTAGGATGGGTATAAGTTGGGGAGGGCGAGCTCAGTCGGTGAGCCCGTTGGCTGTGCGTGATCGGCATGGTCCCCGGTGATGGATGCCCCCGCGGTGTGCCGTTGGGTAAGGGGTACAGTACGGGAGGAAGAACGTGCTTGTACTTGATAGACAGAGGGGAATGATAAAGCACTGCTGTGGGCCAATGTAAGAGTGAGGGCGGCGAGGGGGGAAAGGTTGGATGCGTACATGAAGGAGTTAGCGCCGCGGAAGGGAGGACGCAGGAACAAGAGCATACATAATCCGAGAAAGCGGAATATTTTATTAGTGCCGTTCTAGGAGCAAGTGTATTCGGTGGTGGGTGGAGGAAGAGGGGGGGAAGAAGGGGATGTACCCTCCGAACCCAGAACCCAAGAGAGTCATATATGCGTTGGCTGCATCCGGTTCAAACCGCGTCTGAGTCGCGACAGGATCGCGTCTCAATCGCGTTATTCCAATAAAGTCTTGATCTGGCGCCGTTTATCATGTTTTGTCTTTAGCTTGCTTTGCATATACGACGCGAGGAAGTCGTCGATCAGGTCTGAGTCAAATTGTTGAATTGGAATGAAGACCAAGTTGCGGATTAATAGGGACCGTTCATCACCCAACTTCTTCCGTAAGGGTTACGGCATTCCAGAGCTTCTCTTCAGACGCGAAGGGAACACGTGCGCACACGTGTTCCACGTTCCTCTCTCTCGTGAGCCAGCCGAAAGGCAACTCAGAACAGTTACGGGAGACGTTGATGCTTTGGGTTTTAAACTGGGAGAAGACGCACTTCCATTGCATATTACATCTCCTGGGAGTGGCTGCATGGGATATATTATACTGGATGAAGATCTACAGCGGAGTCCACGTCAAGGAGAGAAAGAGAGGCGATTGATCGTATAGTATTACACCTGCTTGACCAAGCCAGCGTGATTGAGCTTGACCAGAGCGATGAGCAGGGCAGGTGCAGCGAACGCGTACGCAATCCACAGCATCGTGAAACCATTTCCGACGGTCGCTGTGAGTGCAGGTGCCGAAGAGCCGGCGGCAGCAATGGCCTTAGCGAACGCGGACTGCGCGTTGCCATACCATGCACGGAGGACAATTACAGCTACCATGCCGACAAGCCAGCCAATGACGCCAAGCCAGCCCATGGCGCGTGCCATTTTACCGAGAGGCCCGTGGATTTTGGCACCTTCGGGCAAGAGGGAGGCAAGGGCATGATGCGCACTGAAGAGGAATAACAGGATGATCGACGTGAGGATAAACTCCGGGGTAGATGCGGTAGGTCCGTCCAGTGCGAGGGCGGGAGTGTTGGTCGGAAGAGCGGAGAGGTCTGTACAATATCAATGGAGGTCAAAACATAGGGATTATTGATGCTCACCATAAGTGGGATTGAAAGTAGAGTTGGTGCAAGTCACATCGGCCTCGTTGCTAGAGCGAGCACAAGAACCTTAATAACGTTCAGTATTATTGTGAGAATATCCGGAGTGTATCGTACCAAGCAGTCCCATGAAAATGCTAGGCCCATCCACGGTTGTGTCCCTGGCGAGTTCGATATGCAGTTCACGAAGTGTACGGATGTTGAACCGGCTCAGCTCCTCGAATGCGGCCACGTCGCGCTTTGCAGCAGGACTCTGAGTTGGGGTGATAGAGAGAAGGTTGACGCTGGTGTGCAGAGCAGGCACGGGCGAAAGTAGGGCGAGTAGAGCAAGGATGAAGGAGACGAGAGAGAGAACTGGCGGAAGGTGATGCGTAAGCAGGCGTGTAAGGAGTGCAAGCATGTTGATTGATCGTAGGAATGTTCACAGAACTGTGGTTGCACGAGCAGAGGACGTGAGGTTAAATATGCAGAAACGACTGGGCCCAGCTCAGACGTTGAGGATGGGGCTGGTAGAAATACGTCGTGGGGTGGAAAAACCGCTGGGGCCAGTTGAGCCCAAAGGCCCCCCAGTTATATGGGCCAGTGGACTGAACCATTTCCATTGACAGCAGGTTGCACCAACCACCACGTGGAGCTCATACACCAAAGACAAAAGAGTATCCAAAATCAATCGTGTCCATGGGTAGAAAGACTTGCTCAAGCTCCGGCTCAGAGGATAGGAACAATCAGAGTCGATTTGCCAAACTCAGGCGGGCTAGAGTACACGAGAGTGCGTTGACAAGTAAGCGTGCTCCGAAGTATTGGCAGGTAGACATGGCTGGCCAATTTGTCGCCTAGGTTAGACTCTCAAGCCAGTAAGTACGTGCTGCATAGCTCGGAGAACAAAACCAGTCGGTGTTCGATTGAAGAAGACCGGAAGCAGCCGTGTTGCTTCGCAACCCTTAGAGACACGGAAGCACAAAGGCCATGTAACCCATCTTTCTTTTGTTGAGTATCATCCGGAGGACGTATCGGCCACAGTGCGCCTGAATCCGTTAAACGTGTTTCAGTGCCAGGAAGCAACGCGCAAGACAAGAGGGGCAAGAGTTTGGGGGCACCAATTGTGTCTACCGGCTGAGCACATAACGCCAGCACCTCTCAAATGGCCAGTATCTATCTATTCTTAGATATCTGATGGACCTAATACACAACATACAGTTGCGCAATGAGCACACCGCAGCCAACGGTCATCGCGACGGCGATGGTGACAAAATTGAGTTTTGCGAATTGGTGAGTCTGGACCTCGATGCCTTTCTGAACCAAGATCCCCCGCCATAGCAAGCCAGCCAGAGAAGCCGGGAACGTAGTGCTGAACGCGCCATAATTTGAGCCGAGCGCGAGAGCATACAGAGCTCCCGCTCTCATTCGTGGCGAGGGTTGGTGTTGCTCTGTCCAAGATTGGAGGACGCTTGCCAGAAGGATAGTTGCCCCGATGTTCGTTCCACAGAACTAAAGTCGCTCAAATAAGCTGATGCACGTGAGTAATGGCACATACATTGCAAAGCAGCACGGAGATTAGACCCATGAGAAAAACAACTCCTACCGGTCCTGTTCTGTCTGCATAAGCAGTCCACCAATGAGTGAAAACATCTAACCACCCGGTGGCGCTTATTCCTTGAATAAGTGTGAACATGGAAAATGCGAACGGCAACAGCGCGAGTGGTAGACGTGGAAATACGGCCGTTAGAGTGGGCAATCGATGCCTTAAACTTGACACTAGAGATTGGAGTGTCGTCTTATTGGGCGAATGAAGGGTAAGGGCGTCTTCCAAGTCTGAGTGGGCAGGAAAGGTCGCTTGAGGAGAACGTTCCATTCCGTCGGGTATGTTGACCATCTCCACTGGATCGTTTCGCAGGACTGCATCCGAGGGGATGTTTTCCGGGTCTCTTCCTTCATCTTGACCTGAGGTTCCTGGCTTGCCATCATCAGAGAAGAGCTTTGGAAGCAGGGTCGCCAAATTCAAATCATGTGCGACGTCTCTTGCCAGCATCAGCAGCCCAGCCGGCACTGTGACCTGCCAGACCGAGACGGACAACCCGGCCGCACTGGTCCCTACTAGAACGGCCAATGTAGTGACAAGCAGTCCACTACCAAAGATTGCACCGGGTTTGTCGATGAGCGCTACGCGAGGATCAATGTCTGGCTGGTTGACTGTGCGAGGAATGTATTGCGCTGTCGAGAATGACCAAAACACCAAAGTGGGGAGAACGCAAAGGGATGATGCGAGAAAGGGGAGGATAGTGTTTGCTGTGTACGTCAAGAACGACAGCGAATAGGCTCCGGCGAGAACGAGATTGGTCGGATTTGAAGAGACGAGCACGACAGACGCTTGTGAAGGTTCAGCAGACGAATATCAGAGAAAAGGGATTGGACGCACCCATGTTGCAAGCGGTGAATTGAGCGAATAGCCAAGCAATGGGATTCATGTCCGCAACATGGGTTAAATATACCAAGAAAGGGGTGCCGCTGAGAATGACGGGGTCATTTCCAACGACGAGGGCGTATGCAAGAAAGAATAAATATAGAAGGCAATAGAGTCGGACCTAAACGATAGTCAGCATGGTTCATGCAAGGATGTACCAGAGAGGGACCAACTCCCGATACTCCGCCTCGCTTGGCGACCCAGAAGGCGAGAAATCTTAATAAGCCTGTAGCATCCAGTGAAATGGATATGTACGCCTGTTCAAGCATTAGCAGCGTTCTGGCACAGAGCACGAAATCGCACCAGAGAAATGAAGAGACACATGATATCGTATGGCTGGATGCCATTGGATCCAACGATGCCTTCGTATACTTCATGACCTCCGATACATGTCATAACAAGGAGCAGAAGCACCGCTATCACAGGTACCGTACTGAAGTCGAACCTAACACTTGGGATGCCATGATCCTCTATTGTAGGCTCCAAGACCCGGAGACGGATGAGCAGTCTCCTTAGATAAGACCAAATTGGAGCTGGTATCGGCACAGAAAAGGGGATAATGACAATGACATCTAAGGGTACATCAACAAGCTTTCAATAGTGCCATGACCTGGGGCAACTCACTGGTGACAAGAAAGACAATGAGGGTGAAGATGCTCCTTCCATTAATGGGGCGATCAGTTACCATACCCACTATTCGGCGTTAGAAGCGTAAGTTCATCCTGATAACCAGACTGAGGAGCAGGGAAGAAGCAGTGGCGACGAAGGGACCCACTGCTGCTTCATCAGGAGCGGAAGCACTTGACGTCACCATTAATGGTATTTCATTTTGTTGATCTAATATGTACAATAACTCATTCTACATTCATCTAATATAACAATGTCATGAATCCCGTGAGAGATCCTGAAGGAGGCCGTACGCTGGAAGACCGGTGATGCAGCTCAAATCACAAGAGCGCCGAATGATCGGAATGCCCTGCCGATCTGTGAACTCGGCGGTCCAGGCGAGTAGATCGGCTTGGGTCGTGCGAGACGAGGACTGATCGTAATATACTCGTCTCCAGTGGAATATATCTGCACGAGCGACACATTCGACTGAAAGGCTTGGAAATCCAGATCCCTAACGCCGGTACACTCTGCAGGGACCTCGGCCAATCGCTTGTGCCGGATGGGCTGCGGCTTGGAGATATTGGCAATTTTCAGCGAGCCGGTAGTGCTGGTCGATTGGATTGTTGTGACGGAGGCGATGGATGTCCTCCGCCATCCCGATGACAACCTGTCCGACCACGAGCGGAGAAATAGCCGCTGATCGGCTGTCAGTTACATGTGATGAACGGTAGCGATGGTGATCTCACACTCGAGGACTCAAATGTTGAGATGGACTGATCATCTGCATCTGATGATCGCGGTCTGGCTAGGCTGGGCGTTGGCGCCATCGAGGACGTTCGAGATGGCGTACCCGAAGGAACGGGCGCACGGCGAGGAGCAATAAATAATGCCTCGTCATCGGGCACGTCTATGAGGGTGAACGGCCTCGCCCCTAAGGACAATTGCGTGTCGGAGGACAGGGGCGCGTTGGGGGAAGCGGAATCGTCACGATCATGATCGTGTTGAGTGGGAGGCAAGTCATGACAGGCACAAGTGCAGTCGTGATGCACACGTGGGCGCCCCTGAGGAATGCCAACGTTGAGCAAGGTCAACCTAGGGGTGCTCAAATCCGGTTGATCAGCATCAGGCTCGGGCAGGTCCGGCAGTTCTGCTATCTCCGGACAGGGGCTTGTATCTTCTGTACGCGATGGGGGAGAGTCGCCCAAAGCTGCGGCCTGAAGATTCGATCAGCAGTTGCACGGTTGTGATGTGGGATCGTGCGCACCAGAACTTGTAACTCTGTTGCGGTGTTCAGGTACCAGCTGGCTGCTGACCCACTCTTGGAGAAGTAAAGTGACGGGATAGGGCTGGACATTCTTGCTACCGGGATAGTCGGGTGGATCAGCTATCGATGAGGCGACTGTAGAGAAACAAGGTACACGTAGAGCACCCAGATGGTCGCCATGCTTATATGGAACGCCATTTGAAAGTGAGTGGTCCTAGGAGAGGAACAATAACCAGTCAAGGCCAGTGCGGTCAGTGCGGCCAAGGAAAGGGATACGGTGTCATGGCCTTATTCTTTTGTTCTTCTTCCTCGGTTGTGGTTGCCTTACCAAGGATTGTTCTCTCGGCTTCTCTTCCGCTCGTTCATATCCAGAAAACTCAGTTCTCATTCCGAATGGCCGTTATACGGGAGTGTAACCCACCAAACGTTCAGACTTTCTACATGGGCTCACGGAGTTAAGCCACTAATTAATCCGGCGGTACAGCCACTAACACTTTCGTCGTAACCGCAGTGGGGGTATCCTTCGACCGTCCCTGCACTGTCTCCTCAATCCACCATGTCGGCACCTCGCAGGTACTGGATAATGCTCGCACTTGCATCCTGCACTGTTGTATCTCTTGGGATGAACTCTATCAGCATGAGAGATAGGCAACGCTCGGAGCGCACGATATTGACTACGCAACAGTCTGTCCTCCGCGAACTCAATATACGGTACCGGCGAGGCGAGCGTGTTCCCGAGAATGAAGAGGCACGATTACTTAGGCTCGCGAACATTCGAGTCAATAAGAAGGAGGAGCAGAAGACGACGGTAATGCAGGCCATTTTTGGCAGGCAGCCAACGCCGGCGGATGAGGCGAAGGAGTTGGAGAAGTTGAAGCAGTTTTGGGAGGAAGGTATGTGACGCATTTGGACACTGCTATGCCTTATATACTTACTCCGCGGCAGCTTTGCGAGAAGACGAGAGCCAGAAGAGCACGTTACCCTAATCTGGACTCCAGATTACAGAGTGTCCTCGGCCACTGCCCGTCACCAGCACTGTCTCCGCGTGGCTAGAAGCCCAGTCACGAATCAGCTCTCGCCTCGCCAGGGCCGCATCGCCCGGAGAAGGAAATAACCCCGGTCCGTGTGTGCATCCCGGGCCCATTATGGGCATTGTTACCGCATTGTCGTCGCATCTTACGGAATCTGCGCAATCTCATACCGAAGAAATGACGCCTTCCGACTGCCGACACGGGATCCACATCCCTAGAGCAGGTTTCTCCATTCGGTACTTTCGGTACGACAACGCTATTTTCAGGTTCACAATGTCGATTTCCACAAGACCCGTGCCGAACTTCATATGCCTCCCCACTATGACCTTTCCTGTGCGCCATGTCTCCTTTTGCTTTCGGCTTGTGTTGCGCAAGCATAAATGCCTTCTTGTGGGATCTGTACATCTGATGCATCCTTTCCTCATTCTGCTTGTGCCGGAAACAGGAAAATATATGGCAACTTGCACTTCGATCCTCTCTCGCAACCGGCCCAATAGAAGCCCGAGGTTACGCATGCTGCTATCAGCATGCACGACGAAAGAAGTAATCAAGCTCCCCAAATATGGCACGATCCAAGGGGTTGTATAGCAGTATCTTATCAAGTCATGTGCCTCCTGTGGATGGTGTCCCTTGTGGTATTCTCTCGGGTATAGAAGCGCCGAAAACTTTCACAATGCCTCTATCAAACATTCATTCCCACTCGGCGCCATTGTATCAGCGGCACTCGTGGTCATTCATGTGCACGTCGAGCACGATATATACCTGCTGAATTTCCGGCAGATGGGCAATGTGAATATCCCCGCCTTGCTCGATGACGACCCGCGATATCCGCACGGTGATTCCTCTACCCGCAAACATAACCCCGACATCCCTCGCCGATTATGCACAGACATGGCTTCTCCACCTCCCAGCAGACTACTATCTCCCCCTTCCACTCCGGCTACTCAAGCCCGGCCCGCTCCAGCGACTCTTGCTCGACTCGCAAGCTGGTATCAGGTTAGATCACGGTGCAGCCATGCAACTAGGCCCCGGCGAGGAGTGGTTCTACAACTATCGGCTTACGTTCGGTCCGTCCGATCCCTGTCCGAAGCGCCTCCAGGCGCGGGCGTAGATCTAATCTAATCCCTGGTGTTTCCGGATGTTACAGGCTTGCTCTCAGCGGCCCCGGTCGTGAAAGAGCTGTGTGTTCCCCTCACAGCGCTGTACTCTGATCCCCCGATTTCGCTCTCCGAACTCGAAGCAGCACTACGTTTGCTGGCCCTGGCTGGCTCCGGCGCATGCGAGCCTGCGGGAGAATCACGGCAGTTGGAGAATCAGCCGACGGGCGCTTTACTAGGGACGACAGGGGTAGTGCGGAAGGATGCCGCCTGGGGATGGAGAGTGCTGTTCCGCTCGGAGAACGGAGAGGAACAAGGGTCATTCCCCCTCGCGTCCTATGCACGGCGACAGCATGGAGAGATCGCCGTATGGGAAGGGTTGCGCAGGACTCCCGGAGGGGAGTGGCGTGAAGAGTAATTTTCCCCAGATATTGCGAGGCTGTTGTTTGGATGGGTGAGGTGCGGTGTGACAGAGGAGATAGAGATATGATGTATTGGGAATTAATGTTATGTATGTTACAACATGGAGTGATATAGCTGAAGTAGTGCACATGCAATGAAGTCTAACGGAAGAGTGAAAACAGCACAAGAACACAATCTAACCTTGCCAGTGACAACCGAGAGGCCGCTTCGGTGGCTACAAACCCCCGATGGCGGACGCCTCATGCCCAGATGACCTCCTCCGACCCTGCGCGTTCGAGGGTTTCCCTCGGTCGGCTGGTGCGAGAGGGTTTGACAGGCGAGTCAGGGACGAAGTACATCCCCACGTGGGCACCGACGAGGCGGACGACTTCATCCCTGTCCAGCTTGCGTCGCTTGAGATGTTTCCTCTTCTCGCTCTTCAGTGGCTGCTGTAACACCGAGAGAAAGAAACGTACCAAGGCGAAGGACACACCGCGGTTGACGATTGAAAAGCAGTCTTTGAAGTCTGCGTGTGCACGGCCACAGCCAGCGTTAGCCAACGAGGTAACAATGTGCTTCTTGATCAGTGCCTTGTTCTGTTCCTCCGTGCTCGAAGGCTCCGAATTGGGCGGAACGAGGGGAGGAGGCATGCTCCTATCTGCCTCCTGGTCGAGGTTCTCCTTCCCCAGCTTGTCAAGTTTCCCGGATTTGCGTCTCTCAAAGGGCCGGTCAGGCTTAGTAGGAGGCTCATCAGATATCCGCCGACGTTTTGCCGTTGCCGAGAAGACGTCATCCAGCGCTTCCGGGCCATTGCTAGAAGTCCGCTTGATCCCCCTCTCCTGTAAATCCAGGCCTCGCAGGTCCTGGATTCGGCGTGGGAGGGGGTCGTCTGGTCTTGGAACGAGACGCTTCGCTTTGGGAAGGGAGGGACGCGGACGAGCGACGAGGATCTCGATGTTGCCTGATGGGAGGGGCGATGGAAAGAGAAGGAGCTCGTCTTCTGCACTTGGAGTGCAGGAGGAGAGGGAGATGCGAAGACATGGAGTGTGTTGGGAGGTTGGGGAAAGGGGTGGTGTAGAGAAGAGACGCGTGAAGTAGGCGACTGTGAGATGACAGGAAGGGTTGATATGGCTATTCCACGGTGTGAGCTAGCGTGATAGAGAAGGAGAAGAGCGAACATTCGGATCCCCTGCTCGACGTCGACTTCTCCTTTCCAAGTTCCCAATACGGGGAGAGAGGGTCTCCCTCTCAGCGTCTCCAATGCGAGTGCGGTCGGTGTATCGAGCGCGCCTAGCTTGCTGTGTGTCGGTGTTGTTGATGGTGACTCTGTGCTCTGAGGGAGATGAGCGATGAATGCGACGCCGTCGAGCTGTGTGAATGGATGAGAGAGAGCACCTCGCCATAGAAGACGGTGAGAAGGAGCCATTGGGACTACTCTGTGATGAGAATGCGTCGCTGTGAGATGTAAGGGTTGTGAGTGACGCGCTTGTTGCATGGTTTGATACATAGAGTCACGTGATGTATGCTTCTCCGGGATATTCTCTTCGGAGCCGAGGCAGGGATGCGCCAAGAGAAACGGCATTGCGACGTGGTCCATTCACTCTGTCTGCATATACACTTGATCTCTCATCATCCCCGACACTCGTTCAAAATTCAACGACCACTAATGCGGGCGACGATGGGGTTACTTCCCATCGCCCTCATTTCACTAATATCCCTTCTTAGTTTCCTACCATCAGTCAACGCAGTCAAGGGACACGACTTCAAGACCTGCTCACAGTCTGGCTTCTGTAGGCGTGGGCGCGCACTCGCATCACGCGCTGCAGAGGCGGACAGCTGGGAGTCCCCCTATTCCCTGCTCAAAGATGGCTTGGAGCTCGACTCCCAGGGGAGTACCTTCAAAGGCAAGGTGAAGAGCGCACTCTACCCCGACGTACGCTTCTCGCTCCGCGTCGACGTGCTCCATGATGGCCTCTTCAGAATAAGGATGGACGAGGTAGACGGGCTCAAGAAACGATATGACGAAGCTTCTAAATGGGCACTGGTGGGCGAGCCGGAATTAGGCAGCGCCCAGTGGTCCAAGGGGGAGAAGGAAATCAGCGCAGTCACGCGTACAGGAGGGGAGAGGGTCGAGCTCAAAATCGAATACTCTCCGTTGAAGGTAGGCATGTGGATATCAGGGAAAGAAGTCATTGCCCTCAACGGACGGGGCCTCCTTCACATGGAGCATTTCCGGACCAAGGAGGAGCCCGCCGCAGAGTCCTCTGTCGAGTCCTCATCGGGAGAGGAGGAGCAGACCGTGCTCGAGCCCGCAAAGCCTACAGAACGCCCTACGGCATGGTTTGAAGGTGCCGAGGAAGATGCGTACTGGAGCGAGAGCTTTGGAGGAAATACGGACAGCAAGCCGAAGGGACCCGAATCCCTCAGCCTCGATATTACCTTCCCTCTCGCTCAGCACCTGTATGGAATCCCCGAGCATGCCGCCCCTCTCTCACTCCCGACGACCCAGCCGCCAGAAACCAGGTACAACGAGCCTTACCGCCTGTACAACCTTGACGTTTTTGAGTACCTCCCGGACAGCCCTATGGCGCTTTACGGCAGTATCCCGCTCCTGCACGCTCACAGCAAGGAGGGCACCGTTGGCGCCTTGTTCCTCACCGGCGCCGAGACCTGGATTGATGTTGCACGTCCCCAGGTAGGCGGGAGGGGAATGAGCACGCATTGGGTAAGCGAGAGCGGCATCCTCGACCTCTTCCTCTTACCTGGGCCTGGGCCGCACCAGCTTTTCAGACAGTACACCGCTCTCACCGGACCATCGGCACTCCCCCAACTCTTTGCGCTTGGCTACCACCAGTGCAGGTGGAACTATATTTCCAGCAAGGACGTACTGGACGTCAATCGGCGGTTCGACGATGCGCTTATGCCGTTAGACGTAACCTGGCTCGACATAGAGTACGCGGCGGAGAAGAAGTACTTCGACTGGGACAAAAGCAACTTCCCGGACCCGCGCGCAATGGTCGACGCCGTCGCCGAGGCGAAGCGAAAGATGGTGGCTATCGTCGATCCCCACTTGAAAAAAACAAGCAACTACCATGTCTACCAACAGGCGCAGGAAAGGGACGTGTTGATCAAGAAGAGCGATGGAAAGGAGTATGAAGGCTGGTGCTGGCCAGGCGCGAGCGCGTATGCGGATTTCTTCCACCCTGATAGCTGGCAATGGTGGAGGGGTTTGTTTAGGCTTGGCGATGGGAAGGATGTCAAGGAGGGTGAGGGGTGGATCGATTCCACGAAGGACCTATTCATTTGGAATGACATGAACGAGGTATGCCGTCTGTGCTCTTACAGGTATAGCCAGAGCTGACCTAGCCTAGCCGAGCGTATTCAATGGTCCGGAGATCACCATGCCCAAAGATAACATTCACCACGGTGGATGGGAACATCGCGACGTGCACAACCTCAACGGCATGCTCTTCCACAAGCAGACCTCGCTCGCCTTGATCGAGCGCACAAACCCCCCTCAGCGACCTTTTGTCCTCTCTCGCAGTTTCTATCCCGGAAGTCAACAGTACGGCGCAATCTGGACGGGTGACAATGGAGGCACGTGGGAGCACATGAAGGTCGGGCTACCGATGGTGCTCACTCTGGGCGTGACAGGCATGGCCTTTGCTGGTGCCGACGTTGGCGGGTTCTTTGGTAACCCAGGGCCGGAGATGCTCACTCGCTGGTATCAAGTCGGCATCTTTGCCCCATTCTTTAGGGGTCATGCGCATATCGATACCAAAAGGAGGGAGCCTTACCTTCTCGAAGAACCGTACAAAAGCATAGTGAGAGACGCCCTGGAGCTGAGATACGCCATGCTCCCCCTGTGGTACACGCTCATGCATGAGGCCAGCATTTCTGGCACTCCGGCCACTCGGTATGTGACCCTGCTTAGTAGTACTCAATTTTCTCACCTCTGTCAGGCCTCACTACGTCATTCTACCGCATGATGAACAAGGTTTTGCGATAGATGACCAGTACTACATTGGCGATTCGATGCTCGTCAAGCCCGTCACGGATGAAGGTGCCACCGAGACCAGCGTCTACCTGGCTGAAGACGAAGTGTACTACGCCTTCGATGACTATACGATGTACCGCGGTATTTCTTCCGGGGCACAAATCATTGTCCCCAGCCCCCTTGAAAAGATCCCCCTCTTCTACCGTGGAGGACATATCATCCCTCTCCGCTTGCGCCCTCGCCGTTCCTCATCGCTTATGGCACAAGATCCCTTCACACTCGTCATTGGGCTTTCTACCAAGCGTGCAGCGGTGGGCGAACTCTATCTCGATGATGGCGAGTCATTTAGCTTCCGGAAGGGAGAGCTCGTGTGGCGCGACTTCAGGGCGATCAAGAATGGCAAGAAGGGGATCAAGATCATCAGTGACGACAGGGTTCCTGCGCACCCTACGGAGGCGGTCTACGGGGTCGACTTAACTGGCACGTGGGATCCAGAGAACACGTATGCAAGGAATATCCATGATGTACGTGTGGAGAGGGTGGTCGTCCTTGGCCTGCCTGCTGCGCCGACCAGTGTACATGCCGTTTCCAATCAGCAGAAAGTCGACCTGAACTTCAAGTGGATCAAGGGCAGTAGTGCGGAGGGTAAAAGGGGCCAGGAAGGGCCGGCAAGCGTATTGATCATCAAGGATCCCGGTGTGGGCATTGCGAAAGACTGGGAGATTGTTGTCGAGTAGAGGACGAGAAGTAGAGGGCTTCCTGGCTGGATTGCAAGACAAGAGCGGTTGTGGACAGTGCATAGAGCATCCGCAGACTCATGCCGCTTCACTTTATATGCAAAAGGATGCTAATATTTAGCCAATAAATTCATTCCATTGGTATTGTCAGCAAATACAAGTGTAGTGGATCCCCAAAAGTGTATCGAGTTTCGATCTCTACTGCGGTACGGGGGGGTAGTCGATATGTTCAAGATAGAAGGCGCGGTGGCCAACCTTCTCCTCATACTCCATCGTAGTCCACCCATTACCGAGCCAACTGAGTATACCCTTGTGGTCAGGCAGGAACTCGTAGTCAAAGTCCTCCCAACGCGGGTTCTCGAGGGCGAAGACCGCGTGCAGGCAGGAGCCTGGCCACAGACCGGTGACACGGCCCTCTTCCTTGCCACCCTTATACCAAGACCGACACTTCTCCGAGTACACGGTGCGAGGGAAATACGCATCCATGTAGTTATTCCAAGCGTCGACTGCAGAGGCTTTCGGGGTCATGGATTTGATCCCTTCGCGCTGGATCTTGCTGATGGCCTTAAAAGCGTACTCCAGCTCCTTTTCTGCCAGCACGAGGAGCGAACCGGAACCGACGGCGGAGTTGGGGCCAAGAGAGTTGAACCAGTTGGGAACATTGCCAGAGCAGACGGACATGTAGGTGATGGGCATCTCACGCCAAGCGTCCTGAACGTTCTCACCATTGGCGATAATGGGGAAAGCCGGAACGTGCGTTGTGTCGTAACCGGTGGCCATGACAATGACGTCGTACTCGCGGTGCTGTCCGTCAACTGTTTCGATGCCCGTCTCAGTGATACGCTTGATGTCTGAAGTGACGAAGCCGACATTGTCTTCCACTAGCGATTCAAGGTACCCGGGACCTGGGGTCAGCCGACGGCACGCAACAGGGAAACCCGGGATAAGGTGCTCTGCAATCTCGGGCTTCTTCGAGAGCTTCCTGACCATAAGTTCTTTGAAGGCCTGACGGGCCCCGTTCTGCATCTCGCTATTCCTGATTGTCGCGCCGTGCACGGCGTTGAGTTCGTCTTCGAGTTTCAAGCGGAAGTCATTGTATGCTTCTGGGTCGGAGGCGAATTTAGCCTTCTCTTCGTCAGTGAAGAAGTGGTTGCCCTTGGCTGAGCCGGTGAGGGAATCAAGGATTGGAGCAGCGATTGGAGCAGCAATCCAGGTCTTGCCGCGGACATAGTTGTCGACTTGCTTCGACCAGGGCTGGAGGGCCGGAACGACCTGGATCGCACTGGAGCCAACACCTACTACGGCCACGCGGCGGTCCTTCCAAGCCTCGCCAGCAGACTCAAGTGTCCAGTGGCCGGTGTGACACATTTTCCCCTTGAAGTCTTTCAATCCTGGAATGTTGGGATACTTCCACTTATTGAGGAAGCCCATGCCAGAGATGACCGCGTCGGCAGTATCGGACCACGGCTCATTGGTGTCGGCAATCTCCCCGCTGATCATCCACTTTCCATCGTCCTTATTCCACTCGGCACGAGTAATCTTGTGGTCGAGTTTTATGTGGGGAGCCAGTTTATACTTCTCCGTCACACCCTCGAGATAACTGCGGATTTCGGGACCAGGAGAATAGAACGCGCTCCAATCCGTCTTTGGCTCGAAGGTCAACTGGTATGTATGCGAAGGGCTGGGTATAGGTCAGAGAACGGAAAAGCACAGGGTTTGGGAGACGCACATGTCGCAAGCAAGTCCTGGATAGTGGCTTTCGTACCACGTCCCGCCAACAGCCGGGTTCTTCTCGTACACAACGAACTCGACGTTAGGAATCCTTTGAGGGAGCCGGATCGCAGCGCACAGGCCGGAAAAGCCAGCTCCAACTGTCGCAGTATGTCAACGATGGTCTTTATTGAGTAGATGATCTGGACGCACTAACGATGACCTTGATTTTCCTGTAGTCATCAATAGGCCTCTCAACAATCGGCACCTTGGGTGGCACCTTGTATTGGTAAGGTGCATGGCCAAAGTCTGGTGGGTGGCTCGGATCGTGAGGAGGCTGTTGCCAAGCAGAGGACATTGCGGACTAATGGAGGGGGAAGAAGGCCTGCGAACGATAGGCAGTGGCAACAGGACAACGCAGCAGAGCAAGGCCTAAATATGAGAGCCTAAAAGTTGGACGAAGGGAAGCGTGTACACACATGCCTCTGTTCCCCTGCCTTTTTGAGCCTCTGCGCTGCAATGCTGGAGGGGTCATGAGGACCAAAGCTGAGTGATTTCCCAGGCGGCGTCGAGGTGGAATTGGCACATGGTTCTTCCACAGTGTGTCGCACAAGTCACCCTGTCATGATAAACATTTACCCGTAGCGCCCTCTTTGAAATGCGGAGCATCGCTGCTCAAACATGAAATGGCAATAATAAAGTCCATAGAAGGCAGCGTAGGCGCGGGTTAAATATTTAAGTTGTCTTCATCCAACCATTGATATGCTTGCCTTGAGTGAGTCAGCTCTTGGGAGAGAAGCAAGAAGAGAGAGGAAACATTAATTGTTTATCCGGGGACCACCCAATCCCCTTGGGGAAGTCCTATTGATGCTTCCGTGAAGAAAATCAAAGCACGTGATTAAATCGCACGCGTCGTGGCATAGATGTTGCCCGGTCTTCTCGCGTCCCCTCCTTTTACCCCTTCCTCCGATACCGTCACCATCATGCCTCCCCGCACCCGGAAACAGGCAACTCAGTCCACCGATTCGAGCGATTCTGCTCCTCAGCGACCTCGCCGGACGACAAGGAGCGTTAGTAGCAGTGCACCCAAATATCAGTCAGCCAGACCCACACGCACTCGTGCCCCTAGAAACAAAGGAAATTTAGGCCGCGTAGAGGAGACCCCGAATACATCGAACTCTATCAATGCACCCGTTCAGCCAGGACAATCCAACAGTGTGTCCTCTGTGGAACAACGCCCTTTCCAGTCTCTGGTTGTTTGCTCCCCGCACACACCCAACCAACAGCCTGACACTTCGGAAGATCGTGTCGAAGACCTTCTCGACACCGCGAACGACAGTCTGCAGTCTCTGCTACCGAGCGGCGATATCCTTGCCCCCGTGATTGAGCCTCCACTATCGGCCTTCTCTCCCAAACACCCTGCGACATTTGGCCTGCCCCCTTCATCACCCCCATCCCGAGTGCCTTCATCCTCGACTGACTCAGGAAAGGATGCCCTGCAAGCCATGCTTCCTCCATCCAAGCGTCTTGGTCTTGCTCGGCCAGTTCGTCGCCCCGGCATGATTCATCAGCGAGGGCAAGTCCCTCGTCAGGTAGAGCCGGAACGTGACCCTTCGCTCTCCCCGTCCTCCGATCCGTTCGGCTTCTTCGCTCTAGAGAGGCGGCTTCGAGCATCAAGGACCGAAACCTTCCATCGAATCGAGGAACGGATTCAGCAGGAAGCTGATCTTATGGCTGATGAACCAAGTTCACAATTCTCCGATGGCGTACCGTTTGCTTCGCCCACGCGCCGGCGAAGACAAGAGGAGGAGAGCATGGCCGAAGTTGATGCTGTCCTTGCCAACGTCACGAATATGTTCGAGCCGGTCAACGAGAGTGAGCAGGAAGGTCAGATGGAACAGGCTGCACCGGATACGAATGCTTCGAAGAAGGTCCGCAGAGTACGACCAAAGAGCGTGAAGGAGAATAACCATCTGGACCATATTCCGTACTTGCCGGAGCGAAAGCAACGAGCGATTCGAAGCAAGGATGGACAAGAAAATATATCAAATGGATTCCAACGCAAAAGGACCACACACAAGGGGTCGAAATCCACAATCAAGAGTGGCAAGCATGACACCACCCGCAAACGCCAGAAAGCAACTAAAGTTGTCGATGATGAAGTAGATCAGGTATGTCTTATTTCCTTTTGGAAGGCGACCTGGCTTGACTGTCCGTGCAGGAATCCATCCGGGCTCGCCAGCAACGCCTGAAGCTGTTCAGTGATGTGGACAGGTATAATCTCGAAGAAGAACTGGTCATTTGACGGAACATCCGTCTGCACGTAGTATCGGTTTGTCTCCGTGCGTTGTTGTATGTGTCTTGTAGCTCAAGTAATGAGTCCCGCGGTATACCTCAGCTATTGGTGTGCGGACTACCAGACTTCATACAGTGCAGAACTTGTGCCTTGCCTGTCAAAGTCAGTTGATGTGTGACGTTTCTAGATTATCGAGTATCGCCCTTCCGTCATCATGAGGGGTGATAGACTCAGTTTGGCAAGGGATTACCGTTCATGATAGACCTAGTTGTGTGCATATCCCTAAACATAGTGGGGAAATGTGGGTATCAACGAGGATAGTATCGTACAACCCCACATCCTCAGGCATTGCTATTCCCTTAAATCCCAATACCTCCTTTCTGCAAAGCTTCGTTTGTCACTCTGTCCTTCGACAACCCTTCAATTAACGGTGTGCTCTCATCATCGGGATTGTCCGGGTCCGTTCCGCATCCACAGTCATAGGTCTCGTCTAGCTTGGAGCAGTCGAACTCGGGTTTGTGAAGCCGTTTGTTCACCTGGTTGTGTACGTGGCAGAGCCTGATGAACGAAGTCAGCACCCCTGACAACACAATATATTCAAACTGTCAACCATAACGAGGCGCTCCTGCGGGACGATGTCTGGGAACAAAGGTCAACATATACCAGTAAATAAGAAGAATGGTGCCCTACTTGAGGGGGGTACTGTTTGAGCAATTGCTGGAACTCCTGCGCACACTGACCGCAAGGATATAAGCGAGCGAAGACGTAGAAAAAGGACTTCAGTGTGTCGCGTTGGTCAGGTGTTGGCTTCTGTAAAACAGAGGTTCGGTCTGTCTTCGTTCACCTGATAGCATGAATGGAAAACTCACTTCGGGATAACGTAGAGTAACCAAATGCAGGACTCTCCAGGCAGCGCGACCAAGTTCTGCTCTAGGCGAGTGGTCAGCCTTCGCGACTCTAATTGATAATACCGATGTTCTCATGCGTACTTCGCTGTTTCATTAGCCAACTTCCCCATAATCACATCGCCTGTCATCACCCGCTCCAGATCGAGCATATCATCCGACCCGCGGTGCTCAACGCCGCCCTCGCTCAACTCGATACCCGTCCATGGGTCGAAGTATGTTCGTACAGGAGGATTGAAGAAAACAGAGATGAGAGCAAGCTACAAATTGTTGTCAGAACCTGCCCTTGCTTGACCTGGAATATCACGCACAATAAGCAAAAAAGAAATGGCGAGGAAGACCCGTGTAAATCTGGAGAGCATCAATTTGTAGAATCCGTAGTCAAGAGAGAAGGCCTAAAGGAATGTCGTGTGTCGCATGAAACAAGAATTCAGGGAAAGACCCCTTTCTAAGAATTGGTTTCACATTGACCAGGACTACACTTACTTTGGATCTCCCTAGGAAAGGACCTGTCGATCCATCATGTTCTATGTCATTGGACTTGGCTTGGCTGACGAGAAGGACATCACCGTTCGAGGGCTAGAGGTGCTCAATATACCGTCTCTGGTACGGTACACTTTTCTGACATCTTCAAGTAGGCTGTCCGATCCTGCCGCCGTTTATACCTGGAAGCTTACACAAGCATGCTGCTTGTACCAAAGGAACAGCTGGTGTGTGCCTGCTCAACTCCTACAGCGACCGACCTAACGCTTCTCAAGGAAGCTTTCTACGGGACAAAACTTATCGTTGCCGACCGGGACATGGTGGAAACGGAGAGCGATGCAATCCTTGAGGGAGCAAAGGACGTCGACGTGGGCTTTCTAGTCGTAGGGGATCCTTTCGGGTTAGTCGGATGTGACCTGGTCTTTGAAAACATTTCAATTGCTTTTCAAGGGCAACAACTCATACCGATCTGCTGCTGCGAGCAAGGGCTCTGGGTGTCCCGAGCAGAGTGATCCACAATGCTTCCATCATGAACGCCATCGGTGCTTGCGGTCTGCAATTATACAACTTTGGACAGGCCGTTTCATTGGTGTTTTTCACAGAGAACTGGAAGCCAGACAGCTATTATGATCGGATAAAGGAAAATTCAGAACTGGGTTTGCACACGCTAGTGCTTCTGGATATCAAGGTCAAGGAGCAGAGTGAGGAGAACCTGGCGCGGTGGGTTTGATTCTATGGGCGTGATTTGACAACTTCTCACCACCACCGTTGACAGAGGGCGGAAAATATACGAACCTCCACGATACATGTCGATCCCGTTAGCGGTGGACCAATTGCTCTACACAGAAACGCAGCGCCAGCAACGGGTTCTTTCAGCCAAAGAAACTCTGGCAATTGGGATGTCCAGAGTGGGCTCATCAAAGCAACGCATTGTCGCTGGAACGCTGGAGGAGCTCCAAGGCGCTGGTGATATATTTGGCCCCCCTTTACACTCCCTCGTAATCGTCGGGAAGAGGTTGCACCCACTCGAAGTTGATTATGCAGAAGAATCAGCGATCAACAAGGCCGAATGGAGGCGAGTTGCTCAACAAGTGTATGGGTGTCGGCTTGACGAATGAAAGATGATGCATGAATTGGGGCTGTTCAGTGTTGTGACCACAGCTTGGAGTCATGGAATACTATTCATGCGTGTTCGTACAAATGTGCTAATATACAGTACTATGGGTAACAATGCTAAGATGTCCGACCAAATGTCAAAAAGAATAGGAAACATCTGCAGGTGCATTGGAAGTCCGTGCTTTTACCTGCATACCAGGTAAAGGTCTAACAATATTCGCATTTATGCTTCTGCAGCAAAAACAAAATCAGAATGGGTAAATGGGTGTCGCGGGAGAGGACCGTACGCATTGCAGGTAGTTAGAGTTATGGATGGCACCGTACCATTTTGAGGTTCGGCGACGGTGATGTTCGCCCAGATCTCACCGAGATCCGAGGCCAGATAGGTGGCTGCTGCAGAAACGTTTCCCTGAATAGGTGCAGGCCCGGTAGTCGCCCAAATATTCTGTGATTGCAATCCCTGTTGAACCAATGTATTAGGTTACATAAGGCGATATGATAACGTGCCGACTGACCTGCATAATCAGATTTCCGCCGGCGGTGATGACCACGTCATCGAACATGAAGGCGTCCGCTGGATGCGAGATTTCGAATCCCATGTAGGGAATCCAGACGTCAAGAGTCCTCACTGACGCGTTCTGGGGTAATCGCATGACGATGTCCACAGTATGAGTGATTTGGAGCTCTCCTCCAAGGGAGGACTCGGTGAAGTTCTTTGGCTTGACCAAACCAGTGCCATCCTTCGACAATGTGTACGGCTGTGTCCAAATCCCCAATCCTTGGTGTGGTCCCTCATTATCCAGTAAACATGCGTTCAAGCCATCAGCTGCCCCATCTACAGCCAATGCCACTTCAGGCATGAGACCGTCCGCGACTTCCACTCGCACTGTCCCATTGACAGGACCCAACACTTGGATAGATAATATTTCTGTGTCGTTCAAGGCGTAACGAAGAGGGTTGTCGACTGTGAATATGGCTTCAGAAGAATTGCATAACGTGGGTGAACCCCAATTGATCCCAAGGCCATCCTCCGCTGGAGGTATTCGGGGTGGTGGGATATGTGAAAGATCCGGGGGATCCGTAGCGGGAGGCGGGCCCATGCCCAAGGGATATTCGTATCTCTTCCTGCCGTGCGGTCGGTAATCCCAAGAATACTTTCTGGGGGGAGAAATGGCCTGCATCACCGTGTGAGTCGCAGGTGCGTGTCAGTGAGGAGCAGAGACGCACTGGGACAATCTTATATTGGGCCAAATGTATGGCTAGAAATACCACGATGGTGGTAGCGACGACGACTGCCAACATTGATCCAACGTTCCGAAAAACTCTCCTGCGGAGCGGCTGTGAGTACCTGTCGAGATGCATTGCGTGATCGTGCACACCATGTTCTGTACCGCCTGAGATGCTTTGCCATCCACGCGCTCATCGGAGGTAACTGTACGTTAACCGTCTGGGGGCCTCCAGGCGGAACAGGGAGAGGTAGGACGAGGTTGCCATCCTCGGAGAGCGGCTCCTTCTCGTCCAGGAGTGTCTCGTCCTCAATAATTATCATCGCCCTGGCCGGCGCGCTGTCCTATAAGGAAACAATATTGCTGTTCAATGACAGATGCAAAGAGTAAAGCGCCAGCGCAGTCAGATAATGAGACGACGGGGAGTAATTGAGCTTAACAGCCAGGAGTGGTGAGTGGACGGAGGGAGAGAAAGGGCAAGCCAAGAAGAGAGGCGCTCCGTTTGCTTCCGACTCAATGCACATTGTGGCAATGGTTGACTTCATCCCCACACCCACCAGGACAGAGGCAGAAACGGGCGCCCAAATTTCAACATGGATCAAACCACATATCACCCGACGTTTTTTAAGTCCATAATTTGACAAAAGTACCAAATTCCTTGTTATGAAAAGTAAATTGGACAATACAGTCCCGCGTTCATCTGCATTGGCTAAAAATAGCAGAGACAGCGCAGTCGTTCCCCTATTGCCTCTGTGTCCCTTGGGAATTTGCCGATCATTCGAGCCCAAGACCAGACGGGAAGACCAGGGTGCTAAAGTTGTACTGGGGGCAGGCGACTGCCGGCACGACCTCGGGTGCTGCCACCAACCCAGGACATCAACACTGGGTGCGTGTCCACTAGCCTGGATTGACTTACGTGTGACCGCATTCGTTCTGTAAGTATGCTGAGTCTGTAGAGAAATTTCAGTTCGCAGTCGAGTGAGTGCCTTTCACGCGGACCATGATTATAGCGCGTTGGTTCATATCCTCATCTCTGCCGGGATAGTAAACTAAAGGTAGATTCCGTGAGTACGTTAGATACGAATATTTTCGCGGATCACACTTACATGAATAGCCATCTAAACGCACCAAATTAGCAGGACCTTTGTCAAGAGGAGGGAGGGGAGAGGAGGAGCAGACTACTTACCATTGTGTTCAACGTATAGGCAGCACTTATCGTCGTGGCCGAAGAGCGACCAAAAGAGACTGATGGCTATGAGTACGATGTATAACAGCCTCGGTGGACATAACAGACTCTCCCGCGCCTTGGGCAGCTTCGATCGCCGCCACCCAATCTTCAATACTGTCCCCTCCGTATTGCCCAGTCCTAAGAAATGTCAAAAAAAGGCGTGACTGGTATGTCGGAAAAAAATTGTACCAGTCCCATTCCCCAGCAAGGTAAACACGGTCAGCGGCCTTTGTTAGTGCATATCCAGCCTAGATACGAGCAATATCTCGAGGATCTTGCCCATATTAGTGATTAGTCATACTCTGCACACATGTACGCACAGAAATGATCGGAGAAAATATCCACCTCGGTCACGTTGAGTTGGCCCGTTTCTGGGTAAAATCCGTAAGTCCCGTCGACACAAAGATGGTTGGGCGCCAAGGACTTGATCAAACCACAAATGTGGGCTGTCCATTCGGGAGGTGCCGGGCCATCCGCGTAGATTACCGCCGATAATTCGTTTCCAGTCTCCCAACCCATGATCGTGGGATCGTCCTTGTACGCGATGCCAGTATATTGATTAACATGGTTCAGATGTTCAGAAATGTAGGCTGTGAACATGTTCACTCTATATCACCGGAGTACGAATGATATTAGACCGTCCTGTAAGTAGAAGCAGGTGCTCACATGGATGTGGTATTATAGAAATGAGCACCGACATCGGGTGGGGTGATGGCTGCACCAGTACCAGACCACTCAAAGCCGTCCCAGCCAATGAATTGATACTTGCCACCATGATACCAATTGTACTTGGACTCCTGTGAGCAACGATTGTTAATTCTAAGGAGCAATGCTCACATTATCAACCAAAGGAATCATTAATTTAATACCGTACATACGAGCGGCAAGAATAGCAAAATCGATCGCTTCGTACGCGGTCTGATTATACACTCCTGGGCTCGATTCCACCGACAACATATTTCCGAACGAGATGCCGAGAGTGTGAGAGCGGATGGTGGTGCCGCGCATAGCTGAGACGATCCCCATAATCTCTAGTACCTAATTTCTTGTCAACGAAATATCCGAGCTGCCAGAGGGGATCTACAACTCTCGTCTTAGAGGGATAGCTTGGATCTGGGCTACACCAATATGTCAACAAGTTATCTCTGAAAAGACGGCCGAGACATACATCACGTTTTCATCCAATCCACTTGTGTCAACGTATCATTGAGAGATTACCGCAAGAATGTGCCCACTTACAGCCAGTATACAGATGGTCCAACCATCCTGAAAGGCTGTCCGAGCACCTCCAATTGGGAGCCTTGCCGACTGACAAAGGCATTCCGCTTGAGAAGATCGTTGTAAGACGGCAGGGTCGGCCCTGCGAACGTTCCCACGGTCTGGCTGGAATTCGGGGCACAGTATCCATCAAAGCTTGTGGGATAAGGTGGCACCCAAGGCGGGTTCTGGGGGTAAGGACCTGGTCCACTCAACGCGCCGTGCAGTTAGCGAGCAGTTATGCCATGCTCCTTCAGAGCTGGCAGTCGCTCGATCAGACGTTCTGCCTCCTGTATGCCGTGAGGAATGGCTAGCGAGAGTAGGGGCAGACCGAACAGAACAAGATATGACAACATCCTGGCACGAGCTCAGGCCACTGTGCTGTGCCCTCTTCACCGATTCTTATACCCATCAAGCAGGAGAAGTAGTCAAGGACGTATAGATGAGCCTATTAACGCTGTTGCACAATGTATCCTTGGGACATGGTCCAACTCTAGTCGTTCTCGAAGTTGAAAGCAGCTCGGTCTCTACAAAGGCATGTGGGTGGCGTGACGATACGTGTGCGTAGGCAGGCTGGCAAACCCTGGAGGAAGTGCAATATCAGGAACAGACCTTGAAGGATTATCCGAGGGAAAACCTTACCGGCAGATTCCATTTTGGCTAAGCCCGCATCGAGGTTATTGTTAGATAGAGAGCAGTGGGCATGCAGGCGATGGACCAAGGAGTCATGATTGATGATCAATGAGTCACCTTTAACAAAGAACTTGAAGTTGCGCGTCTATTTTACTTGCAGAATCAGAAGAGACGCCCATGCAACTCTCCGGATTTCTCAGCTCTGGATGCTGTGGACCCGTGATTTCGGAATTGCCACTATCCACATTCTATCATCAAGATACCCGAGCCGCACGGCGCATAAAGGAGCCTGCATTCTGTCTGCACCCATGACCACCGCGTCTCTTTACGCCTTCCCATCATGTCAGACTATGAGCTCATGGCTAGTGAACCAGACCAAGCTGCCTCCCCACCGTCCTCACCGTTCTCTTTCGTTTCGTCCATTCACCCGGTTGATTCGCCTTCTGACCTGAGTCTGGCGGAGAGTATACTTGCCGATGACCAGGAGACGGTTGATGTTCGCAGCGTCAGCGGTTCCGAATACGATTGGTCATTTGTGCACCAAGGCAGCGGCGCTGACCACGCACACCATTCATCGGCCTTCGCCTCCAACGTGACCGACAGTGTCTGTTCCATTAGAAGCCCCTCTCGGACTCCTTCGCCACAGCTCAAGCAGCCTTCTTTTGTTGTGGAGCCTTCTCCCCTACCAACACCCAGAGAACGATCTCCACAAGTTCTCCAGATCCCTGTGTTGGATGCGTCTGCTCAACCACTCACCCTTGTCAGGTTACTCAATCTACCGCCCTACTACACGTTGGAAGATCTTGTCAACCTGTTGACGAAAAGGACCCCAACAATCTGCGACACCTTCCGGTACATTGGTAGAGTTCCTCTGCCTCTCTGGATCAGCTTTAGGCCACCAAATGCGCAGGTTGAGGCGGTGCAGACTAAAGCGAAAGCACCTGAGGTGCCTACAAGTTCTGCCCTCCTTCGCTTCATGAACCCAGAAGACGCGGCAGGTCTGTCTGACATTCTCGAATATATGAAAAATCGACTTGCGATGATGGATGGAGGAGAATTCTGGTTCTGGCTACTGGATGTCGACACAATTCTCCTCAGTGACGAAGAGGCGGAGAAGGGTGAAGAAGATAAAGGGCTTCTTTGGGTCGCTGACTGGCTGAGGAGCGACACTATCAGTGACATGCAAACCAAGAACACCGCTAAAAAGGCAGCATCAGGTACGCCGCTCTCGTCCATTTCGTTGTCTACTAACGGCTTGTTCAGAGTCGATCACTTCCATTCTCTTGACCCCGTTACCTTATGAAGTGTGCCTCTCCGACCTGGTAAACCTGTTTACCACGAACGCCGCCGAATCCGCTCCTCGACCGAGACGCATCTCCCTTCTACCAGACCTTGCCGTACACACAATCTTCCTTCCTTGCTGCATTCTGCAGTTCCCCGATCATGTGACTGCAAATCAGGCCATGACTTTTTGGTCACGGTATGATACGCTTTTCTTCGAGGTGCTGCTAGGCGGCGCACCCTGCTCTTTGGAAGCAGCATGTATGTCATCCGGAACAAGGCGGTGCCCGTTGGAATGGAAACTTGGCGATTGGTGGTTCTACAGTGGTTTCGTTCGAAACGCACAAATTTGGGAGCATCCCAGTCTTGCTACCAAGGACGCGTTTCGTGCGAAGGAGGATGTAAGCGGCCTTCTGGAAGAATTTCCTTCTCATGTTGCTCGCCGCAGGAGACTCGGTGCGATGGGCTTACAATCTTCGCCACATTGCCAGGTATCAACTAAGCAATCTGCCCTGCTAACGGCTCTTCCTCCTGATGTCGATTTGGATGAAATTGTCAAGGTCTACACTACTCCCCCGGTCCTTTCATCGTCATCGTTAACATCATCAGCAATTGAAGACTCGTTCAAATCTGCTGAAAGCATGCACACGGACGTGCCGAATCGACAAGAAGACTCCGTTCGGCCACAGGACAGCAGCCAATCGACACGGACCATTCCACTGCCTTCATTCATTTCCATTTTGTACTCTCATCCGAAGATCTGTCCTGGGTCTCGCATGGCTGTCATATCGTTCGCCTCTGCTGCAGACTTCGCAGAGGCCACTTGTCTCCTGCCACCCTCTATGTGGTTTCACCCTGGGACTTGGGCGCACCCTCGAGGCAGCTTTGTGAAACCGGAAGAGCGCGACGGGACAGAGCAGTTATATCAGTGTTCGTATGTGTATGGGGACTATAGTTGGCTTCATCACAGTTCTCTCGGGAGAAGGACGACCTGGGTAGCTGCTGTTTAGACTGTTGGAAACGTCGTCCTTGTTTCGGTAACTTCGCTTTCGGTGCAACAAATTCTGCTACCCGCTGACCCCTACGGATTGAGGGCAGATGTAGCCCAATCCTAACTGTAATCACGTTCAGATCACTATATCCTGTCGTTCCAATAGAATGGAAGACGAGATACATGAAAAGATGGAATGTGGTCATTGTGATATAAATCAGAAGCGGACGCAGTGCAAAATGAGGACCTTGGTGGCAGACCTTATACAATGCAAAATCATGAGCTAACGACAACATGTTTTTTTGTCATACTGGAGAACAGCGTACCCACGCGCAAGGAGAAAAGGGCAAGATACAGATACTGTAGCACCGCGGAGAAAGAGTCGGCACGAGAAGCCTGTCAAGTAAGATGTGGTCAATTCGACCCGGAATTGCCTCATGTGAGAGGTCCTTCACAATTGATATCTCTTCTTTCATAAACACACTAGACTGCCATCTTTGCCAGGTGTTTGAAACACCGATCCAGGAGAGGAAACACGCAGAGAGACAGTTATCGTGCACGCAAGAATACATGTATTGTTGGATGTGAACGCGACAGTAGAAGGTGTCGGTTATGAAGATTCCTGGGATGAGACTAGCAGAGTAAGGTGTTACCTGGTAACATCTCCCGCGCTTCACATCCCCCTCCCACGACCGCGTGCCCGTCCGGCCCTCCCTGGTCCAGTACCACGACTGCCACCCGGACCCCCTCGACCTGGACATCGTAATTAGCTGATGAGCACTCAGATCGAGTGCCAGTATTAACATGCCTCGTTGTGGCACGCCTCTTCCTCCTGAGGAAAATGTCAGTGACAAAGATGCAACAGTATGACCACGCTCACCTCTTTGTCCACCTCGGCCGCCTCGTTGCATTTCGCGCGCATGAAACTGCTCCAACTGAACCTCGTCCAGCAGTTGGTCCGGAACACGCAGGTATTTAATCTACAGGACAATGTTTGATAGCCCCACGTGCTCAGTGATGCTTGTGCTTACCGTACTCCCACGAACATAGCACTCTTTCAGCTTCCAGAATCGATCCCCTTCGGGACTCGTTTGATATACCTCCCGCAATGTTATGTTCATGAAATTGTCGCAGTTGACCAAGTGTCCGTTGAGCGTTTCTCCGTTCTTGAGCTCCACAAGCTGCCTCACAAGTCAGATCACATTGCACACCTGCACGGTAAGCCATACCATTGGCTTGTTCTGTGCGGCATTGAGAAGAGACAGAGGAAGCTGCGTGAGCTCCGGTCAAATGACAGAACCATTGGTGAAGGGAGAAAGGCTCGCCATTTTGTATGCACTATCACATGAACTTCTGCGTTGCAGAAGCAGATTAGGGTGGTACGCGTTGTAAGGGTGCACTAACTAGGGCTTTTCAACTGGACCCCTTTCCGAACTTTGGACCTCTCCCTGCCTTTGTGCTGTAGCACACATCACTTTCTCATTCAGCCGGTGTCGACGATCTCTTGACATACAAAAGAAATTTATTCTGTGAGGAGTCTATCTTTTTCCAAATCATGGACGCGTTCCAAGTCCATACAACCTTCGTCAATCAACTCAGAACTCTCAATGCGTGCGTACTTTTTGACGCAAAGTGCATGCAATAAAACTCAAAGTTCCCCGGGCCCTCAAGCACTCAGCAGGACGTACAGAAATCAGTGTCCTTTGCCATGCGGCACATCGACAACCATGAGGATTTGTGGAGTTGCATCATGCAAGCATGTCACGAAGTGAGTCTTCTCTATCCTTCTCATGTCTTCATCTACCCAATAGTGTTTAGGCCTCCCTGAACCTTAAGATGAACATTCTCTATTTTATCGAGAGTCTCTGCGAGATGTCGTCCAGTGTCGGCCCTGAGCCATATTATGTCCAGCATCTGGCTAGAGATTTAAGGGCGCTTGTAAATTTGTTGGTTCCAGATTCCAGAGAGGGCCTGCTCAATCTGTACGGCACAAAGCAGGTCTGTGATTGTGAATAATGGAAATAACTCAGACGCGCTTAGCCTCGACAGGTTATACGGAATTGGCGTAATCGACGTTTCATCAACCAGGATGCCTTTGACGTTGCTGATGCCCTATTAGAGCGCAGGCAGGACTGGTACGTTCTAGCGTTTCACGATATGTGCCCTGCTCACCCCAGCAATTCGCAGGAGCCATGTCGAGCAAAATGGCACCCCAGGAACGCCGATACGAGAAGATAAATATGTGAAAGGCGATGCAATTGGCCGGATGAGCAAGCAGCAGAGGATTGACAGGATGAACGAAGATCGCGAGCGGGTATGTAGTTTGAAAGACTAATAGACTCTTCACTTACTTACGACCCAAGCAAAAACGCTTGCGGGAACAACGATGGATCCTGCCTATTCCCCCTGTTGCAGTCCAACATCGTTTAGCCAGCACGCTTCCAGCCACGCTCAGTGTGAACGATGCAGCACTAGATAAGGAGTTTGACGATATCTGGGAGACGACATCCGATTGGAATGAAGATGATGACGATGCTATAAACGAGGAGAACGACTTGTGTTTTCCAGGCGTGTTATTCAGACAGGGAATAAATCGGGGAGGTGGTGACAGGTGACAATTGCCTGTCGAGCTTCTATGACCGCCTGATGCCTGAACGAGTATTGTAATATTATCATGAACTACATGTATCAAGAACATCCTACAACCACATGCGAGAGCGAGCATTTTATTCGCTTGTTTGAAGACATGTCGTATTTTATTGAAACAGGTATTGAAAGGTCAAGCAGTCAAAATGCGCCGTGCGGATGAAAAAGAACACAGCATACTGCAACCCTAGTACTCCAATGCCTCAGCATCATCCACTTCTGCTTTATTGATGCTTGGATTAGGATCTGGGGGAGCCTCTGCAAACGCAAGTGTCACTGAATCTTCGTATGCAATGCCTTCAGACAGCTTCTCTCCCTCCATCAACACGTCCTGGTTTGAAAACTCTTGCACCTGCTGGCGGAGCACATCCACCTCCTCTATACCTTTCTTTCTCTCCTCCTTCCAGGTTTTCTGTTCATCGCCCACCTGTTCTCTGACTCCTTCTTGACGAGTTTTGAGAAAAGCTTCCTGCTCAGGGAGCAGAATGGCTGGGAGGTAATAAAGCACTGTCTGTGTGGCTGCCGGGGGTGGAATGGAGATGGGGAGAGAAAAGGGATCATTGGTAGGATGTGAAATATGATCAGAAGTAATAAGGAAATGAGAGAGATAAGGCTTGATCTCATGGGTGAGGCGAAGCTAAAGATACTGTAAGCAACATGCGCAGAAGGGACAGGACAACGAAGCGTACGAGATTGTCCTTCATGACCAGTTCATCCTCCTTGTGACTTGCGAGCATTCTTGACCTTTTAATATCTGCCTGTCGTCTTACTTCCATTTGTTCGTGCGCAAGCTTTGACTGGAGCTTTGTTTCCAGCGACATCCGACGGCGTGCCTGAATAGAAGAATCAGAGAGAAACCGACAATCTGTCTTGAGGGACGTACAGCATCGGTCTTGTTTCGCTCCGCATCTTCGTCCTTCGCTTTATTCAGTGTCCCAACCAGAATCCCAAACATCGTCTTGCCGCGCTTGCGAGGTTCCGTGGTGAGATCCAGCCGAGGTCTTTTGCGAGGAGGGTGCGGGACATGTGCGGGGGAAGCATTTCTAGGACTGGGAGGCACTTCGTTCATAAAATCTTCAGCTGAACGATGGACAACACTAAGACTAATGGTTAGCCTTCATATGAGAAAAAGTAAAGTGAAGAGGTTACGTCTCTGGCACAACATCCTGCTCTACTTCAGCCATATTTCTTCGATGTCGGTGTACGAAGCAAGGACATACCGGACACAAAACTTGTGGACCCTCGTCTATTTAAATAGTAGCACACCTGCCACGGCCACAGGTTGCTGCCTCACTTCGAACATGTCAAAGCACCGTCACCCTGTGACAGAAAAGCGTCAGAAATCACTCGACGAACAATTAACTGTCCTTTATCAGGCGCTTACAACTCAGCTGGACGGGGGATACTTTCAGAATGCTCTCAAGAACTGCGACCGAAGTGAGCCACAGGGTTTCCTACTTGCGCCTTCCTCATACGTGTGAATAGTTCTGAGACTCGCACCGAAAGAAAAACATGCCGCCGAAGCGAAGATATACATATTACTTCAACTTGAGAGATACCTTGATGCCCTGCATCTTCTGTCTCAGTTACAGCTTGACGCAAGCTTTGAACGAGCCTACTCTCTGTACAGGCTTCAGGATAAGGAACAATCCTATGCCCTTCTGGGAAGCTTGACCGTCACCTCCCCGGAAAAACAAAGGGGCCTGAAGCATCTGGAGGCACAGCTGGTGGGTTCAGTCAGTTCATATAACCGTGTTCGATGCTGAACGCGTTTGGCAAACAGAAGTATCGAGACACGGCGTATGAGGAATGTCGGGAAGTGTACACGCGTCTATTGAATACCTGCCCAGCGGTAGGTCCGCATGCCTCGGATCCGAATCTTGCTTACATGAGTGAGAGGAGGAGGATGGGGAAGAAAGCGATGACATTCTCAGCAACTTGGCGGTCGCCCAAAGCTACCTCAATTTCATCGATTCTGGATATAGAACGGGCATCAAGGTGACCGTAGACACGTCACGACTGGAATCTGCACCTTTTACGATACCTTCTACTACGACATCCGCCCCCACCCCAATAACACAAGTTCACTCCGTCCCAAGCTCTGCGCACAAATCTCGTATACCCAAGCACGTCGTCCTAGGTATAACTCCGCTTCCGGACCCAGAACGTTGGCTGAAAAAGAAAGACCGTGCGAAGGATGCAAGGAAAACAAAAAAGGGAAAGAAGGAGGGTATGGGTGGTGGTGCGACGCAAGGCACCGTCGTGGCGGTACCGACGCCAACAGCCGGATCGGGAGCTGTGGCAGGTACTAAGAAACGGAAGAAGCAAGGTCATTAGTCTTTGCAAGAAATTTATGCGGTCTTCTGTCTTTTCGCTAGTCGCTCATCCTGACAGTCTGACCTTTGCACCACATTCACGTCGTTTGATGCCCTCGATCTAGCCCTCTCCTTTTTGCCTTTCCTCTTTGTCATACTGTTCGCCTTGGGCTCATCCTTCGTATCTCTTGACCATGAGCGACCCTTCAGCGCCTCCTTGAGTTGCCAATACCGCTTTCCTCGTTTGTCGGTAGGGTTAGGATGGTATGGCGCATACTTAGTCATGCCCATATAAGTATTGAGCTCGGCATCGTCGGCTAACAAGATGTCTGTGGGCGTCAGCCCGAATGATGTGACAGGAACCTCCATGTACTTGAATCTCGTGGGCTGGTCTCCAACCTATGTTTGCTTCAGTTGGTAGCCAGCTACACCCTTGTACCAACCTACCATTCCATTGTAATCCAGCCCAAGATATTCGTCCATATATTCGTCCACCTTTCGCCGCAGATCCAAGCTGGTGGCCGCATGTGGAGCATCAACCACATCAGCCGTTTGATTTGTTTCTTTTGATTTGTTTTGCCGCCTCTCCGTTTTTTCTGCCTCTTTCAAGAGGAGGTTGGTGATGTCCACCTCGTCATCCCATGTTGGTTTACTCTGCTCCTGTTGTTACGCCATAAATACCTGTTGAGGACTGGATTGTCGTTTCTTACATGTTGGTCATCATAAATTTCTTCATCAAAAACAGCGCGCATTTGGGCGTCGTGGGCTTCTGGATCGAAGTCACCCTCGAGGTCAAGCTCATCAGTCCGAATATCTGCCGAGACGGGAGGTGGGGATTAGTTAGCTCGTCCTTATCACAAGCACATACCATGCTTGCCGCTGACATGTCCCAGGATCTTCAACTTCTCCTCGATCTCTTTCCGCTTAAGAGCCTTCAAACGTTTCAACTCCTCTTGTTTGACCAATTTTTCCTCTGCCTTCCTTCTCCTCCGCTTTTCACGCTGCAGTTTTCGCGAGTCGTCTTGGCGGCGCACAGTGGACTGAATGCTTCTCGGGTGGGCGGTGATCACTGCTGCGTGCCTAAAATACTTCTTTACAGCATGCTCTTATGATACGGACCCGAAGCTCACGGCTCTTCAAAACGGAAGTTGTAGGACGATTCAAACTGATCCGTGATATCCTCGAAGTCCGAATCTTCTTCTGTTATTTTTTCTTGCATGACGGCCTCAACCGGTTTTGCAGTAATCTCTTCTAGAGTAGGATGACGTTGCTCGGAGCGATCAATCCATCCTCGGTTGAGAATGTATCTGGATCAAATCAGCATATTAAGGCGACCATAATTCGCTGAGCTGGATACCGACTTGAGGAGAAATTCCTCATCGGCAGGCGTGTCCAAGATACCTGTGCGTTTCCTCTTCCTCACATGCTTTTCCTGTGCTACACCAACTGGCATTCGGAAGTCTGCCAGTTTGGGGGTCTCCTCCACATCCGAAGACAGCACCGTTCTCATGTCAGTCTCACCCACACTATCGAGCAAGAACCGTCTGTATGACTCGTCATTCATTTCGTTCGCGGGATTGCGAAGAGTGAGAAGTTCGACGTCATCATCCACGGCGGCTGTCTTGAACGCAGATATGGTCTCTTTCCGCAAGGTGGCTTGCTCCTCTGCGTGGGTCGGGACGACGCTTTCTTCTTGATCAGGATGGAGCAATTCCTGAACAGTCATATCTCGAAGCGTAACGGGCTTCGACTAGGCGCCAGTTGGTAAGCGCATAGGGGAGAAGGAAAAACGCTATGACATACGGTTTCTTTTGATGGTTTCTTTGGGAAACGATTCCCGCCGAGATCACTCGCCAGCCGACGAGCCTCCTCTGTAATTCCGAGTTAGTTCGGGGTGTGGACAGTGTTCAAGGCCCAATACCTTGAAAGACGTCTTTCTCCTGGTTGTAGATGATAGGATCCTTTCGCCTGATGCGACTTAACGTCTTGAAGATCGCAGCATCCATGGCTGGCGTAATGTCATCGCCATATTCATCCTCATCTTCTTCACTTTCGTCATCATCGTCGTCGTTCTGGCTTTCGGATCCATACTTTTCCTCCACTGGGAATGCCGTCAGCTACCATGAGAGCTGTGCAAGATGCCGGGACGACTCAAACATATTGACAACTCCTCTCGCTCCTTCTTCGCAGCATAAGCTGCAGCAAAATGTTGGTTTATCGTGATTTTATGCGTCTCATCATCATCGAAGAGATCCATTGATCACCCTTCGTTAAGTTGGAGGTATGGACGATTATTAGTGCCACGAAGAGCCCTCCTGGAACAAATTTGTGGAATGAACTCTGGACCACTGTGAGATCGCATCAACGGGGTGAGACAGCGCACATACGTTGCAAAGAGTATCCGACTGGCGACAGTTTCTGTCATTCGGACTTGAAATTGCAATCACGTGGCTAGCCCGGGAGGAAGCGGACGCAAACACGGAATCTAACTCTCATATGGGACCTTATACATGCATGTGACTTTTTTACTTCCGAGACGGAGGTATTTTCCCAACATATCAAGACCTAAACAGCTGGGCTCAATTACAGAACCAAACACATGCAACTCCAGCTACAGTGCATCAGAAACTTTACAATAAGTAGAGGAGCAAGGGACCCTTTGTCAGAGATGACACCAGTGCTATAACAAACTCCGCCTGGCGCCTCCAACCCGAAGGGGACGGAATGAAGGCTCTGGTGAGGAGGGCTGGGCTTCGACGATCCGGTAGTTGTTGGTGATGTTTGTGTTCTATGGCGAGGGTGTGTGCGGCTGAGAGGCCTGCTAGGCCGCCGCCCAGGATGAGAATGGTTGTGCATTCTGTTGGGAGTTGGGGTATACTCGAATGGTCATTTGGCGTGAACAGAGCGGAGGAGAGAGTGAAGTGACGGTGGTTGATTGGTTCCTCGGTGTATTCGGTCACTGTCTGCACCTCTCTCGGGCCTTTGATATCTTGAGTATGTGCCGATACGCGTCTGGAATGCCGTAACCTCCGTCAGGGCATGGACCCTATCTACCCGCAACTTGGTCTACATTCCAACTCAACGGTTTGACTCATCGACGACCATTGTCGTACATGCATTAATTCAAGCTAAAGACAAAACATAACAAACGGTGCCAGATCAGTAATTGATCGGGATAACATGACTCAGGCGCGGTTTGACCCGGATGCAGCCAACGCATATATAACTCTCTTGGGTTCTGGGTTAGGAGGGTGTATCCCCCCTCTTGCCCCCTCTTCCCCCACCCACCACCGAATACACATTGCTCCTAGAACGGCACTAGATATAATATTTCGCTTTCTAGGATCATGTATGCCCTTGCTCCTGCTCCTTCGTCCGCGGCGCTAACTCCTTCATGTACGCATCCAACCCTTCCCCCCTCGTCGCCTTCACTCTAACATTAGAGGACGATCAAGCACTGCTGTGGGCAGCAGTGCTTCATTGTCCTCCTCTCTTTATCAATGTTCTTCCTCCCCTACTGCATCGCTGCTGATCAACATTTACCCAGCGGAACACCGCGGGGCCATCCATCACCTGCCCCATGCCGATCACGCACACCCAACGGGCTCACCGACTGAGCTCGCCCTCCCCAACCTATACCCATCCTACTATTTGTACGGTGCGTTTCATTTACTCTTCGTAACTCATACTGGTCTGATGACTACGGGTCTAGGGTCGGCCGGCTTGATGACAATTCTCCGATGCGTCGACCGTCTTGGCTGTTATACAGACTTCTTGGCCACCGTTGCCATCCATCAACATCGTTTTGTCTATATTGTCAGTCTCAATCACAACCCTCTCTTCTTTGTGATTTATTAACAATCTGTATTATCGTCCTTGCTGATCAGGGTTCGCCGGTGTTCCTGCGTCTGGCCCACGTCCTCCACGCCATGTCCTCCCACACAACATCCACCATTCGAATGAGATAACGCTCACACGATAAGCACCTCGAACCTTGTATGATCTTTGATCGATCCCTTGTGTTAGGATATCGTGGCGACATACTTCGAAACGAAATACCTCTCCGTCGTCGTCACCGACACACATTTTCGAGTCGAGTGCGATCAAGGTCCACCGGTGCGCCCCGTCCTTCCTCTTCTTCAGGCACCTTCTCCGATCACTTCCATTGTTTTAAGAAGAGTTCGGGCACACTCCGCCTCTTCGTATGCACACATTCGATGTCTTCACCTCGGCGTCACGCTGACGGCCAAGCCCAGGAGTGCTCGACTCTGCCCTCCTGCCTTCAACAAATGCGCGCATGTGCGTTCTCCTTTCTCGCCATAGCTATTCTGATCGTCCCCGCTGCCCATCTCCTCCCCTTTCCCCACTTCCCGCACCTCCCGCACCTCCCGCACCTCCCGCACACTGGATTGGGGACATTCCTCACCGTGGACAACGCCTGGTCGCTCACACTCCCCGCGCCTTCGCCTCCGCCTGGATTAGCAATCACGCGGTATGTTCCATGCCTCCTCGTAACTGCTTCTCTTCTAATTGCAAATGGTCTAGCGCCGGAAGTGACAGCTCTCAGCATGCGTCGACTGTGAGG